GTCTATGTTCAAAGTAGATTCGTATCACGACTGATGCATCGCTCGCTCGCTTTTCTGCGGATTCTCTCTTTTGCTCGACTGGCATGCCGCCAAAAGAGCGAGGGCCGGTTTCGGAGGAGCGGGAAAACAATGCGATTCATTTAACTTCCATTAAATCCGTGCGCCACCCAGTATATATACGCCGGCGCCGTCCGTCTGTGCATCCGTCCGACTAGAATAGGCTCTCGACTACTAGGAGATACCGGGCTGCGTGCACGAAACTCTCCCGAAAGCTTCCTTCCCGTTCGCGTCATTATTCCGGAATCGATCGACACTCTCGAGATGTGCATTCGTCACTTGATACAACAGTTGCTCTCAGACATATTGTCACGTAACGACTGGGAAATTTACCAAAGTCGAATAACCAAAGTTTAACAATCAAGAGTTTCGTAAAGCAATAGACGACTCTTGTATTTTTAACTGTACGTGCTGGATTAAAGGATCATATAAAGCATCATTTTTGCGTTACTGCCGAATGACATATTTTTGTCAATTCTTTTTTAAATTATTTTTTTTCTACAAAAATATTCAATTTTTACAAAATTGTTCGATAATTTTTGAATAATTAGCCAACAAAAATAAGAGCTCCTTCATAAATCAAACTTGAAAGGAGCAAATAACGAAATTATGCAATTGAACAAGCAGTTTAATTATAAAGATGTGTAACGTATTTAAGAATGGAGACAAATGGTGAAAAATGACGAATATCCTCGATATTTTCACGCGTACTGGATATATATATATATATATATATATATATATATTATTTCCTATTATTAGATAATATATCAGAAATTAATTAAAATCTGCGGTAACGACTTCCTCACAAGAAGATAAAATTTCCGATATTGATTGCGGATAATATAAAATGCCATTCGCATACACGCGCATCGGGTGCATAGATGTACCAAGAGATAGGCGACTCGTTTTCTCTGTTTTTGTCGCACGTTGCCGAACAATGTGTACGGTGACACATTTACGCCCGCGACGAATGTCCTATCGCGACGATTCGCCTCTTACGCGATATAATAGCTCGAACCTGCGGTTGCGCGTCACCGATTGCGTATCACCGGATAATAAATTACTGCCGTGCATTTATTCGTGTTTCGAAAAATACCATCAATCGTTCTTCGAACGGAATATCCATCTCGTTGGCTTTAATCGGGAGAACGGAATTATCGTAATCGATTACGAGAAAGAGAGTATGCTTTATAGATATCTACGCGGAAAAAATATCGAATCGAATAAAGTAAAGCTTCAAAAATATTATGGACTGGATGTCTCGATCATTTTCCCGATTTACTCGAGACTTTTCGTTGCACCCCCTTTATTGCCGCCGAAAACGTGTGCGTGACGCGTTTCACGAATGTGCACCTTGACCCGAGGAGCACGTGGACGTGACCGCGTCCTCGCCACCGTTAAATTGGTCGCACGTGCCATTAATAATCGGCCATAAACACGGTTCGCGCGCACAAAATTTTCCCTATGACTTGAGCGGGATCTTTTTTTTTTCTCTTTTTTTTATTAAGAGAGTAAAACCGAACGTTGCCAGATGCGGCGAGAGATTTCAGAGATCGGTAACGAGTTTAACAAACTAGTTTCCTCGCGAGGCATCGCCCTTTCTCTCCGCGTCCTCCGTGAGAAAGAGAGATAGCTTTTTCATGCTTACACACATGGCTTCTCCTTTTTAGTCCTTTCAAAAAAGGAAAGTGCGCGGGAGAGATGGAAATTGGGAGAGCCAAAGAGACAGCCAGAGAGAGAGAGAGAGAGAGAGAGAGAGAGAGAGAGAGAGAGAGAGAGAGAGAGAGAGAGAGAGAGAGAGAGAGAGAGAGAGAGAGAAAGAGATGAGGGAAGCTTTTTCTTCTTCCTTAACATGTTGATAGACTTTTTGTAATTCGTGTTCCGCTCGCAAAAATGACTTTGAGCGTCGCGCAATTAAAGAAAAGACGCTTCTTGCCAAGATCTCGATCGAAAATGATGTGCGTACGCGAAACACTCAAATGTATTCAAATCGATTACACGTTCGCCTCCTGTGGAGACAAGAGCGACAGCTCGTTGTATCCACCTGTGCTAAAAGAAAAAAAAGTAATTTACATTGATATTTACATTGAAATCGCAAACAACACTTAAAACTCGTAGAGAATCATGCGAGTGAATCGAGCGCGTTGACTACGCGCATAGTTTATCCATATTTGCACAAACGCACGGTATTGTTTGTTTTCAAGAATCGATCGCGTTCTACAAAAAAAAAAATACATACATCATAACTTCCTTAATCATGCATTTTTCACGGCGGTAATTATATTAATAAAAGCCGCGTATGTATATTCGCCGACATTTAATTACTGACAATCGCGGCGCAGCCGATTCATCCGCATATATGTATTATATATTCGCCATTGTGCACGCGCCGTGGCGTGTCACGTACACATACTCCGTGTACTAATTACTCGTATAATATCCATTCGTCGCCGCCCCTTTGCGCAACCCTTGCCGTGACCTATGACCCGTACGCGTGAATCACGCAGCGATTACGCGCTTTTTCTGCCCCCTTTCCCTTCATTTTCACCGTTAGCGGGGCGATATTTTTATCCATGCCCTTATGCTTTTTCGCTTCATATTTCAAATGTGAATCACTGAAAATTATTTCAATAGTTTTGTTTAAAAATAAAATTCGAGGAGAAATAAATAATAAATTAAACATGTGAAAAGAGAGAAAAGCTAGTAGATATTAATGAAATAGTCATACATATATATTTTACTCTTTCCATTTCGCTTATCGATTAATTATTTTAATTGATTATTTGACCTATCTCCGGGAAAAATATGCATTTCTGACTCATAAACATTTTTAATTAAATATTTTGAACATGTCTTTAATTAATATACAAATTGAATTATAATTTTAAATATTATTTCGGTTATATCTGTTTCTACAAAATCTTAAATGAAAAGAATTGACGCGTCTCATCAAGTATTTTCCTCCGTGCTTTCATTAATACTAGTTTCTGTGTTTAATTTTTTATTCGTTTTGCCTCGAGTTTTAATATTGTTTTAAACTTGTGTGCGATAAACGTCGTTTACCCCTCTCCTCCCTCGCCATTTTGCATTTTAAATTTGATTATCTTTTTATACTAGGCAAGCTTGCAACTTGCGCACGGGCTAACGCATCTGTATAACAGCGAGGGTTTGTTAAACTCGTACTGTACGCGTACTCGCGACTGCGATACCGCTGATCGCCCGCAATTAGTGTCGTCGCCAGTCCGTTCTCCTAAATTCACGCGGTCTTCTCGGCGTGCCGCCCCGAGCAATTAACTCGTTTAATTAACGGAGTTGCACAGCTGATAAAAGCGGCAACTCCGCGACTCGTTATGCGCTCCACGAAATTCCGGAATTTCATCGTCACGACGATGATTTTTTCATTTCCGCGCGAGCCTCGTTGCGTTACGATAAGAACGTGTCTCGAAGCACGTATCACATCCGCATTCGTCCCATATCACTTTTTCTCTATTCTCTTTAGTTTTAGAATCTCGATATTCACTCGAACATTTTTTTTTCTTCTCCCTCTTTCTCTTTTTCTCTCTCTTCTGCATCATTGAATATATGCATATCTTCTTGCAATAATGCAATTATTTGAAAATTAGTGTGTTATTGTACGAAATTATTAATCATTATTTGCGCTATTTTTCCAGAAATTAAAAACTCATTTTCAAATAATGCTCGTACAATTGTTTGAAAATTTATTAATAAAATGTATAAGTTAAGCTGCGTGTTCTGTAGTATTAAATTATTGATTGGAAAGTTTGCTCGTTAATGTTGTACACATTGCTTGTCACAATGTGCCCGCAACGTGGGTTTGAATAGTTAAATAATAATTAAAGACTTCTAGACCAAGGAGATGTTGGCGATTACTTAAGGCCAATGCAAATCCGATAACGCACTTTGCGAATTCTCGTGGGTGTCGCGAGGACAAACAAGCACGCGTGGGCAGCCGATGATTTATTAAATTCTCGTTTTTCTCGATGTTTTTAGAAAGACTGTATATTCGACGTCTACATTGTTTCGAGTTACGTTTTTTAAATTTTCTGTTAGAATTCGAAATAATTGAGTACCGAACCGTGTCGTTTTACGAGAGAAGAAATATGTGGAAATCTTTTGAAATAGTTTTACCGTAACTCTAGGATAGGCGTTAACTTGGAATAGGAGATCGTTTACTTCATCCCTAGAAACTCGCTCAAGTTTAATGAGCTCCGGCGCGAAGAAAGGGTTAATCGAGCCCGCGACAGTCTCGACGGCGCGTTTCTTGCTGAGCGGGGATTAAGGGCGGGGTTTCCGTATCTACTTTAGCCATCGTTAGGTGAGCGCACTCGTTATTTCGCCAGTTTATCGAGCATCTCATCCGCGAGGAACGCAAGCTATCTCGAGCGCGGACTGAAAATTTACGCAACATATGCACGGATATATTCGCGTCCGAAGATTTACGTCCGCTTTTCCGCGGACCATCATTCGTCTCTGGGAAGGCAACGACGTGTAACGTTGAAATTAGGTTGCTGCGACCCGAATGAGAAGGGGTTGTTTTCCGAAGCTTCCCCACGACTCGCGAACTCTCTTGCCAAGGAAGGAATGTTTTCTCGTTGGCCCAGTATCGCTCGGGAGGAGACGTAACATAAACCGGTCACGTCGACGCCAAGTCTTGTACACGAAAGGGGGAAAGAGTTCGCATCGATCGCTGCTGCGGAAATATAGTTTCCGCGACGAGTAGATAAATCGCATTCAAACTTTAATGCGACACGAATCGCGACGTGTGTGTTTTAAAAAGCATTGAATATTTTACACATTTTTGGCGGATGACGTTTGATTGTTCTCTTTTCCGAGAAAGTTTCCTCCTCCAAAAGTAATTATTCGATCCCTTCCTCTCTCTCTCTCTCTCTCTTTCTCTTTGAAATATTATTTCACGGTTTCGCGGAAACACTAATGAATAATTAACGAATCGCCCTCGTGTCGCGGCGAGCTCGTTAAACGTTAAAAAAAAATGTCGACCAAGGGATTGCGGCTGAATGGAAGAATCTGTCGAACCTTTTTCGTAAATTCGCTAATTGCTGCAATCTTCGTTAAAATCTCTGAATTAGACGAGCGTATATCATTAATCTAGCTATATACGTGTATACAGACGCTTTTTTAATTTGCTCAAAATTGTGATTGTGTGTATTTTTCCAACGCAAATTTAATCGACGATTTATTTATCGCGTATTACAATCATGTGACTTTGATCAAATATACTATTTCGGAAACGAGTATCGATTTGGACGTCGGCTAACATTGTTAGACCATGCGCAAAGCCGTACCGTGGACTAGCAAACGAGGAATGCTCGAAAAATATACGTAGTACCGAGAGTCGAAAATAGAAGTCGATCAATACCATGTGCGAAATGTTGTAGCATCGATGTAGCCCGCGCTGTAACGCGTAGCGTATCTATTTTATCGAATTCTATCCGCGACTCGCGGTAGTTCACTCCCAGAGCTGGTAAACGAGACCCATTCTGTAGTTTTATTTACGGAAAGAATCTCTTCGTCTCTCTTGCTCTCTCTCTTTCTATCTCTCTTTATTCGAAAATATATTTTATTCATGCACATACATTCGCGAATGTAGAACGAACATATGGTACAGGTAGCGCGCGTTACACATACTTGGATCAAACGTCCGCATCGGATACACTCGTTTGCTGCATTAACTCGCGAAACGGTGCGCATCCAGCGGCGCGTACCTCCGTTATATTCGTCGACGGTACTAGCCTCGGATAAACAAAGCGTTCGTTAGGCATTCATCAACATATTTCCTCCTCGCGTCTTCCGGCCAGCGAATCCCGCTATAAAACTCGATCGAGCGAGTTCGGGAAGCCATCCTCGCGCGCCGGGATTACCGCAACATCCGCCGCGCGGTCTCTTGTCAGATGGGCGTGCTGTAAGCGGAGAGGAATAAATCGATCGAAAATAAATTAAACGAAAATCTCGACGAAGAGTGGAAGAGGAGGAAGAAGAAGAGGGGCTCCTCATCGACCGCGGGCGCGATCGGCGATCCGTGACGGTCCCGATCGCCATCGATCGAGATTACATCGCGCGGAACGGCGGAGGATGCCGCCTTCCTGAGGTGCCGGGTCGCCAGCAGCTCCCAGCTCTCGGAATTCAACGTGGCGGGCTTCGCGGTAGCCGTAAACAATGGCTCGGCGGAGCCGCGCTACTACGTGGATCACCTGCACCGGCAGCACGCGCAGCTGCAACAGCTCCAGCAGCATCAACAATCGCCGCGCTACCCGGTGCAGATGTTTTCCGGCCACGTGTCAGCCTTGGCCGCCAAGGAGGCCGTGCTGGAGCCGCCGCCGCGTCGCGGCGACCTCGTCTACGTTCACTGCGCGACCGCGGAGGACGAGGAGGCGGTCGAGGACGAGGAGGAAGAGCCCCGGGGACTCATCAGGTCTAGGTCGTGGCTCTGTTGCCCCGGTGATCGCCGAGCCGATAAGACTGTGCCTATACAGGTCGAGGCCGATAACAAGGATAAGCAAAATGCAGTAAGTTTTCCCAACCGAATCTCGAAACGAGGGAGAGGATAAAGGAAAATAAAAATAAAAGTAAGCTCGCGCGAATCCGTGTCATATCCGTAACATATTTGATAAAAGTATGCGATTTATACTTACACAATTCTTTTAACGTTTCATTTCATCGCTCGAGATGATACGATCGCTTCGATAATGCGTCCAACGACGAGGATCTTATTAAAAATTGTCGTTTCATCGTCGAGCTATCGCATCGCTCGCATCGTTGCATTTATCGCAAAGATTCGCGCTGGATTCGGCGACTGATTTATCGCTTACCATTCGGAGCCGACTTCTTTCCACGCTCGCATTCGTGCGACGTCTCATGCCTGGCATGCGCCGCATCGCAGGAAAACCTGTCAACGACTCGATAAGGCAGGCAGACTTTTCAGGCTTCCGCGACTCTACAATCGCGCTCGCGCGCGACGATAAATCACCGTCCCGCGGCCGTCAGTCATACACGAGCGAAAACACAAAAGAACTTTTACTCGATAAATTGCACGTCAGTTATAATGAGAGGAGCCGACGCGGCAAAATCCGACAGTGGCTTTGCGTATTCGCGAATAATGAATTTCGCGAAGCCCTTTGTCGCGATTGTCCGCAATCGATACTCGACAAAAATTCTACGTCAATTTTGCCATGATTGGAAAAAATTTTAATTATCGTTGCAAATGTTACGCAATTATCGTACAAGTAATGCAATTTAAGTTTGGAAAGTCTCTCCAAATGAAGAAAAATATCTTTGTACCTGTATATATTTATGACGAAACAAACTTTAATCATTCTTCATCCAATACAATTTCACCGAGAGAGCAGATTAAGCGTTTGTTTCACGCTTTTGCGTGGTTCTAATATTTATGACGGTATCCCGGCTGCGTTACATTGCAACTTTCATTATTAGTGTCTCTACGGATCCGCGTTTCACCCGCACCCTCGATTTTTCGACAAATTTTTTCTCGATCTAATCTCGCGACTAAGAAAACTTTCGTCGCTTCTTTCTCCCCACCGAAGGCGTAACTTTGGCGAAAATTACTTTGACGCAATATCCGATAAAAGGAAGTTCGAACGGAGCTGAAACGCCAGTTAAAACGCAGTCTGATATATGCCAAGATACTATCTGGACTACTTTTAGAGATATATGAACCACGTTGAACGTGTAATTTGAAAAGTTGAAATGTAAAAAGCACTTTTATGACGTAGATAAGATACTTTTGCGTTTCCGGAATGTTACATATAAAATATATTTATTTTCATGCAGATGTAAAATTATCGTCGAGATAACTTTCACAGAAATGTCGTTCTTGATCTCGAGATTAGATGCGATTTAAATACGTACGGTGCGCACAAGAATATTATAGGACACGATTCTATTTTATCGTTGGCATTTTTTATTTCACGAAAAAATTGCCCGGATGGGACAGAACGAATTCTTCGTCCAAAATAATCGTGGATGAATCTTGATATCGAAAAGATGGAACGCGTTAGAATCAAGATGGAAGGAATTTTGCGTGAAACTGCCGTGGAATTTCATGCCACGATCGCGGAAACGATCGACAACGGCCTGAATCGAGGAACGAGGATCAGACCAAATTATACGATGAGAATTTTCCTTTTCCCTCCGCACTCTAATGGATCTTCGCTCATGCGTTGCTGGCAAATACGCGCGAATCATGAAATCCAACAGACTAATCGTCTAACAGTACGTTTGATAGGATGTGCACACAATTTTAGAAATTCTTGTCAAATATCGCGTCCAGCCGAATTGTTTAAAATACTGATTGACGAATATTAACACAGCTATTTATTGGAAATGTAGATCAATTTAGAGAATCAAAGCACTCAAAGAAAAAATCCTTGAAAATCTAAAAGAAAAATTGAAAGTCGAAAAAATGGTCCAGAGTGGCCTAAAATTTTAAAAGAAAAGTTTGAAAGATTTTATAATGCAAATAAATATCTTATCATTCATGTTAATGACTAGCATTTTTATAATACTTGAAATCGTTTCTTACATTTATAATATTGATATAATATTAATTTGCATGGTTTGTACATTACGTTATACATCATTACGTCCAATTTAATTGGACAGTGCGCGTCTTTCCAGTTGAGAAATATTAACGGGAAAGATATTTTATTTGCTGGAAGCACGTTGTACGATTGCACTTTTTTTTCTGAATAAAAAATGAAATGACTCGTACGTATCAATGAGAAAGACATCGCTCGTAGAGCTTGTTGGACCGTGAAATATTCAGTGTCTTCAATTTTTCTGTCTCGCTCTTTTTTCACGTGTCATATCTAATATCTCGCGCGATATAAGACGCCGTCATTTGTATGCCACTGGCTTCGAGATGTAGGTTAATGGTATATGGTCCAGAGATTCTTGTTACCACCTTTGCGCCAACGACTGGCTTTTGCGCGCAGTTGTTTCTTCTTTTTTTTTCTTTTTTTTACGTCAACATGGAAAGTTACTTTACAAGGAACATTGTACTACAATCGAAACGCGATTTTTGAATGTTTTAAACAGGACGTGTATTCCTTGGGAAAATATGGAAATCCTGGATTTCTTTTGTACTTGGAAAAATCAGGACATTCTCTCTCTCTCTCTCTCTCTCTCATGAAATTTTATAAAATCTCAATTCTCTTTCACAAGTTTATTGGCAAGCCAATGATAATCGGCAAGCCAAGTGAATTATATGCGTGCTAAAAATATATTATAAATGTATATCTTTGTCCTGATTATATATGTATATCTTGACAAAATGTTAAATATGCAATACATTTTCTTTCTTATATTTTTTAATGATTAAATAATAAAAATGTGCACGTGAAAAATATTTATCTCACAAAAGTTATACAGTTATTTTCGGTACGTTTGCAAAACTAGCATTTGAAATTTAAATGACTGTATTTTTTTCTTTTTACGAGTGAAAATTGTTAAAAAAATTTATACGATAAAAAATATTATTTTAAGAAGATGTAAAAAAAAACTTTAAAATATTCTCTTAATTTGAAACATTGAACGGAAATATTTGCAACATCAGGGACATTCTCAAGGAATTTTTTTAAAGGGTTTGAGTAGATGAAATTGTTGAAAAGAAACTTCTATCTTGCGCCATTTTATAAAGAAACTTTGCATTTAGCAATCGACGTCGCAAATATTTATATGTTAAATATTATTTTTCGTCTTATTAATGAAATAATTGAATTTGATTTATTACTATTGCGTCCACGAAACGCTAATCGTGTTTTCTAATTGCGTCTGTTATTATTGTCGCAAGGATTTTTAAGTTAGCGCAAGAAATGGAATAACGCGCGAAATATGGAAATTACTGTATGTAAACTAATTGCGAATTTGTGCCCGAGTGAGCGATTCGACGTGTCCGAAGGCGAGTTCGGTAATCGAATCTCTTCGTTCGTGACCTTACTCGCCGATGAAACTGCGAACCGCCGAGCCAGTCGTATGTGCGCGCGGCCTTGTAATTGAATCCTTGATTGCTTTTTGTTTGAATTACACTCCGGCCATCGTGTCCCCCATGTTTGCACTTGGACCGACACACACGCACACACTGACCTTAACCGAGGACGAGAGGGGATCCTTTGTGAATGAAACGTCGAAAATTGCCGGTCTTCACCGGAACGTGCGTTTTTACGTCAAAACGTTCTCCGTCTCATATCGCGTCGCGATTTCGCAATTTCCGCAATTTCCGTTATTCCTTGCCGTTAATCGCTATCTTACATATAATTAGCATAAATCTTTTAGCTAATTAGCGCAATTTTTTTCTCTATTGAAATAACATTTTATTGCATACGTAAAAGGGAAGGGAACAGAATACATAAAGATATAAATGAACGACAAATCTGTCCTCGATTCCGCACGCTTTTAGGGTTTCTATCCGCATGTTGGCACCGGATCCTTACCGCAGGTACCGACGTTGCAATGGGGTGGTGCCATTTTGCAGGGTCTGCCATCGGGACAAGGCGGTGCGTCCTCGCAATTTTTCCCCGGTAAATGAATGTAGCCATCATCGTCTGCCGCAATTGCCGTCGAAAGTACGACAACAATGATCATCAGAGCAGACATTAACTTCATCGTGATTGATTAATTTCACCTTTGCAGATATAATGTATATATTATTACATAGAAAATAGTAATGATATATGTGGAGATCTGTTGTGCCTTTCGCGAATTTGTGTGGATGCATTTCTCATACATTCTCATACATTTTCGAATATTTGTGGATATTGACATATATATGACATATATGCAAAAGTATCCTTGTGAAAATAAAGCAAGAATGACGTATATATTGATTATTTGAATAAGAAATTTATTTTAGGGCAATATTTTTGCGAGAATATTTTAAATACAAACGAAAACAAAATAAAATATACATATGTGTATACAGCATGTATAATATAATAAATTAAAAAATTTTAATAAATATACGGAAGAAAACCTAAATTATATAGAAAAATCTTAAAATGATACATAAAATTTGTATGACAAATTATAAATATAAACAAGAAATTTACCTGAACTTTTTGTGCGCAAAATCGAGGATTATAGATGATCACTGTCAAGATCAATGCCGCGCCGACGATATTTCGGAAACGAATGGTCGTATCGTTGCGTGTCCGGCTGTTCTTATGCACCGCGACCTCCTCTTCGTTTCCTTTCCACGAATCGCTTTGTAATCATGCAGTCGATAATTGTTGATGTCTCGTAATGTCCGACACGGGTGGCTGCGCGTGAGAAGGACAGATTCTTTCTCTGCGGATTTCCCGCGTATACGCGGATAAAAAAGGAAATCGCGATCATTTGCGAGAAGAGGAAGTCAAGAAACATTTTCTGATTTGCATCTATGATAAACACGTTTTTTACAAACTATACAAGCTATTTATATTTTTATCTATAAATGGTTGGTGCAGTTTTAACAGCAATGAAATTAGTAATTTTAAATCTTTCAATAATATTTAAAATTTTTTAATTAATAAATTAACACCAATTTTTATAATTTATTATTTAATTTTTAGAATTTGTAAAGTAGTTTTGAATTTAACTGTGTAAATTTTAATTGTTCAATTTCGTGGGAATGAATTATATTATTTATTTAATTTAAGTACATTTTTTTTCGATAAATGATTTATTTTGTGATAAAATTTATGTTTGTTATATTTATATGTTAATAATATATATATATATATATATATATATATATATATATATATAATATTAATATTTGTGCTGTATTTTAAGAAATTAATTTTTTTATTTAAATTTATATTTAAGAATAGGATTTTTAAATAGAAATAGATGTTAATTCATATTTGCTTTCATTTTTTTTTAATGACCGAGAAATCTAATCGCGATACTAATTAATCATTCAGCACGTTACATCACTATATGTAAATTAGTAAACCAATTAAGCGCTGATTCACGCGACGCGCAAAAATATTCTACACATTATTTTACGCATCAAGATTATTTTTAATTTACATTGCGAGGACGTTATGATACTATACTACTTATAGTATAATGAAAATTACAGTCTACTTAATTATATTAATCCACGTAAATGTAAGTTTGAAATATTTATCTATTAATTATCATCAATTATTAATAAAATTGTATCGAGACATACAGTTAGAGTTTGTTACAAACAAGATCTTAGCTTTCAATAAAATAAAATTTTATCTATGCTATTACAGGGTATCTGTTCCCTGAAAAAAACATGGAAAATCTGGAATTTTCAGGAATTTCTTTTTTATCTGGAAAATGGGAATTTTCATGGAATTTTGTTGGGAATCTTTTTTTTAAATTCTCTCTTGATAATTTTCCTCTTATATTAATAATATTGTAAGCAATTTCAGCAATTCGTCGATAAGTCAAGTACGAATTGTGTACAAGTATATTATAAACGCCTGTCTCTTATAAATATTCAATGTCTCGATAAAATATTAAATATGCAGTACACCAGACTTATCAACGATTAATACAGACAACGCACATTTTACGTTGTAATAGTAATGAAAGAATTTGTTGTAATTAAACATTGAAAATTGGAAGAATCAAATGGACAGAGGAATTTAATTTCGCAGCTGCACGCGGCCGCGCTCTCCTCTCTGCGGTCCGAGGTGGCCGAGCTGAACTCGCGGCTGGTGGCGGCTACTCGCGCGCGGGAGGCAGCCGAGGCCGCGCTGATGCGGGCGGAGGTGCAGGCGGCCCGCGCCGATCAGCGGGCGGAGCAGCAAGCGGCGCGACACGAGGAGCGGCTCACCGAGTTGCATTCCGTCATCGCCGAACTCGGCAGACAGCTGGAGCGGCATCGCGCCACCGTAATTGCCGAGGAGGACGAATCCGGTAAGATGTTGGCAACGACGGACGACGCTTGTCGCTCGTCGCTCGTCCGCGTACCGATTTCCTTCTCCGGAGAGGGGGATAAAGAGAGCCTTGACGAGTGTCACGACCAATACTCCGGGGAACGCGGGGCAATTCTCGGAGAGGCAATCAACGAGCTCTTCTCGGTCTCCGACAATAACGATAGTAATAGCTCTCTCGGTGTCGCGCGCGATTCCCAGTCCTTCCTCTCGAGTTACCGAGAAGAAGAGCCGAGTCTCTTTCTCTCCTTCTCTCGTGGAGAGACTCGCATACCTCGCGTCGCGAGAAACGACCGTTCTTCTTCCCGGCGCGATTGCTCTTTCGATAAATAACTCACGAGCTGACAGAGTAGATGCGATCTCTCCGAATCGCGATTGCGGGGAAGCTTTGCGCGAAATTCCGAATGTACCGATCGTTTGAAGCCGCGATCTGAGAATCGTTCTTTAATGCGCAGAGGTCGAGACGAGCAGGGATGCCGAAGGTTCCATCACTAATCCGGTAGAGGAAAGCGAGGGCGGAGGAGACATCCAAGGAGACGGTGATCGTACCTTGGGGGATGCTGATTCCAGTTGCTGCGAGGATGAGAATCGGCCGACCGAGGTGAAGAGAAGTTTTTAAAACAAAAATGAATTGTTGTACGGTCCCGTGTTGCTAGATATCTAATATACGTATATCCCATGTATACAATGATATTTTATATCTTAATACCAATTAATAAAAACTAATTATATAATTATACAATTTTACTTTTAGAATGGCAGGGAACAACTTGACAGTCCAGCCGCGTTGCCCACTCCGGAACCGACACAGCAGGCAATGTCGTGTCAGAGCGTTGCCGTCGCGACGTTGCAAGAGGAGATCACGGCATTACGAGCGGAGATTACGAGCTTGCAGACGCAATTGGCTCATTTTAAGAATCAGACCGGTAATCAGAAGCAGACGACGGGCAGTGATTCGCCGCGTCGAGAACTCAGAGTAAGTTTGGGGCAATCTTTTACATCAGACTATAGACACATATATGAAAAAAAAATATTTATTTCGTACATATTTTGATAAAGTAGATAGAGATATTTAAGATTTTGATGAAAGAAATTAGATAATAGAAGCAATCATATAATATTTTTTTGTTTTTCACTTATTTATACATTGTTTCTTTTATCCGTAGACAAGGGGTAACACCAGCTCGCCGGAACCTTTGACGGCGCCATGCTCGCCGCTTTTACCACCGTTACAAACACCTCCGACGAAGAGCGTAACGAGGGAGGAACCGCCGGTTCTTAAAATGGCAGAGAGAGTAAGATTGAGAAGAACGGACGAGAGGCACATTACCGGTCCGGACATCACTAATTTCGGAGTAGGCCAGATTTTTAACTTATAAAGAATATCGTCTATTGATTTTCGTCTCCTGATTTTTCCTTTCTCTTAACTTTACGCGATGCGCAATGCTTATGCGCCGACATATTTCAGGTATGTTCCACCATGGTCGCCGAACATCTCGTATCGGATCTTCTGGAGCAATCAAACCTGCAGGAACTAAACGGCTCTGAGAAGCAGTTTGAAGTCGAGACGGAGCGATTGAACAGCAGACTCGAGCACGCGCGGGCAAACAATGCGGTTCTCGCTCTCACGTTGCACGAGAGCAAAGCGCAATGCGATAGGTACATCTTCAAAATGACAGCAACACGTATGATCTTTATCACATGGTGATCTTTTCCCGTTGCGTTGCAGGTTGAGTTTATTGGTCGGCAAGTATGAATCGAACGCGACGGCATTGCGACTCGCGCTTTCGTATAGTGATCGTGCTATCGAAGCCTATGACGTTCTCGTTGCTCTGTTGGAGAGCGAAATTGGACTTTCCACCGAGAGGAGCAACGTGACGATCGATAATAGAAGGGCGGCCGAAAATGTTGCGTATCATGTCTTAAATCGACTCGAAAACGACTGTACTAATACGTTGGGTGCTCCGTGGGAAGACAGCATGGTCTTATCGGACGAGTGCGTATTACTTTACAACGCGCACAATATATACGTATGTATCTGTGTGATGTATAATTTTTTTTCTCGATAGATCGGAAGTAACGTGGAACGTAGAGGACGAGCAACGACTCAGGAGACATATTAGCAGGTTGAAGGGAGAACGTACGATGGTGAGATCGACGGCGGTCGAGTTGGAGAGCGTGCACGCGGAACCTCTGAACTCAAAGAATACCATCTCTTTAGCGGAAGCTAGGAAACTCGATTTGGAAACTGCCGTACTTATGCAAGTCAGTATTTGAGTGAAGAAAAGTGGAATAAAGTTTATAAGATTTTAAAATATATATAAAATATATTTATAAAATTTGATTTTTAGACTTAAGTCATCGAAACTTTTGAGAATATTTTATTTTTACAAAGATCTTTAATAATTACTTAGGAATTGATGGCCATGCGAGAAGATAAGGCTGAGTTACGCGCTAGGGTATTCCTTCTGGAAAAGGAACGCGCCACCATAGAATTGAAGTTAAACGCACGGGACACGCAGATTGCGGCTCAACACGCTACCATACAGCATCTCCAGGGTCAATTGAGTGACGCGGAAGCCATGCTCGCGATGGCGACAAACAAGGTATCGTGTCTCTCGTGTATTTTTAAAATTCTTTATCTTCTTGCGCTGATTAAATAAAAATGCATGTAGGATCGCGGTTTAAGCGACAATGAGAGCGAAGGGATGGAGTCTGAACTAATCGAAGCGCTAGGCAGAGAGGCAAGACTGAAGGAACGTCTGCAGGAATTGATTTCGACCTTGGACGAAGTCAATAAAAATTCTGAGCTCAGGCATCAACAATCCGCTGAACTTATCAACGATTTGAAAAGAGCAAACGGGTAAGTCATTGTACAATATTCATTCATAAAGTATTTTCTATGCATTTGTATTAAAGAAAATAAGAATTTTCTGTTCCCTTTTTAGCGCATTAGTTCAAACTCTGGAAAAGTCCAAGAAAAAATATCAATCTAGATTGAAGAGGGTGGAGCAACAGATGCTGCAAATGGTAGATAGGCATACTGCGCAGGTATGATTAAATATAGGTGAAGTATCTGCTTTATTAATCACTCGATATTCACAAGAAAAGTGATTAATTATATGCTAATATATTATTCTATAAAGTTATTTCTTCTGTAGCTCCTTCCGTCTCTCTTTTAATCTCTGTTCGACGAGATCCTCCAGATCGTCGAGCGGTCTGTAGATTTGATGAACCCATTGTGCGCCGGATAGCATTGTAATCATTGCCACTGAACAAAACGTAATGTAGCGTGGCCAAGATAGTCCAGCTGGCATTATACGTCAATATGTCAATATCTTGGTAGAAAGTGTAAATTCAAGCCTCCTGCCGTAGTCTCTCCTCTACTAGCTCCTCTACTTTTCGACGTTTATACGTCTTGTAGAAGTTAACCTCTCCCACATGCCAATTGATCATAAAGAATTCTATGGCCGCCCCACAGAAGAACAATATCGGCAGAAATCGGTATTCACGGAATATTCGTTTTCCTGGCCACTTATCAATTAGTCTCCTCAATCTTGCATTATAAGATTGCATTAAAAATGTTCAAACACTTCGTCAAATTACGCAACTACTCCGCTATCCGTTAGTCGGCTGCCGCCATATTGGATTATTTCTGCGCATGCGTGTGCATACAAATATACACTACCTTTAGAAACATTCATGCGTATATGTTAAGAATTATATATAAAAATAGAATTTATTTACATAAAAATACACATTTCTTTTATACACATATATGTGTACTGAACGTTAATTTAATTTTCTATCATACCTGCAGGTGAAAACAATGCAGCAACGAATAGTTTCGCTAGAAGAGGAATCGATGGGTTACAAAGGAAGCATAGCACTACAGTCTCAAAGTTCTGGCGCTAGCGAGACATCGTTATGACAATCGAGTTACTGAATGGTAGAAAACGAGACATGGGGTACAAGCTTAACGATCCAACAATTATTGCTAATGTCTTTTTTGTCGCCGCGAAATGACATTACGCAAAACGAAGAATGAATCCACGTATTTTTTTATACCGAATAATCGGCCGAAAATAAAAATGCTTAGCCATTCGCTTTGTAATTATATCATGATATATATTAATGCTATCCTAACGAGAATAAAAAAAAAAAAAGAAAAAACTCAGCTGGGCCTATGCAATGTGTGCAATGTGTCGATACACGAACGCAAGTAGCCTATTTAAAACAGCATTCAGCACATAAATTATAAATTGTTAATCAGTAAAGCGTATCGATTACAACGTGATAATCGTGTACATATGTATATTGTAAAAGCATAAACCAAGTGTGATATGTGTAAACAACAATGTAATAAATTGTGCTTTATTATCAAAGTCTAGTGCGTTTATAAATATTAAAATGTGAATGTGAAACCATTATCAATTTATCTCTATGCATTATTTAATTTTTTACTTAATAATTATATACAATTTAGATTATGTTAAGTATCCTGATTTTCTTGCTGCTCCATTTGTAATGCCATTGTTTCTGTGGCACTTTTTTCCGGTACATCAGGCCCTTCCTCCGCTGGTACATCATTAATTTCCACAGCTTCTTTACTTATCATAATTTTCTGTATTTCCTCCTCCAAATGTACACAGGCTTGCTCAATCTCATAATTTTTGGACACCAAACCAACCCACTGTGCTTCAAGAGCTCTCAGTTTATCACCTCCTTGAGTCTGCATCGACTTTCTCTGCCAATTAATCTCTTGAATCATTTTCCTCAATACTTGCAATTGCTTTTGACCCTGCCCCACCAGTTGAACCAATACTTCCAAATAAGATTTCCACGCTTCGCAGCCATAGTCCATCATTAATTCTAAATTACAGATTCTGAAATTATGCAAAGAGGTGTAAAAATAATATAAGAGATTGCACACTGAGTCAGTGAAATCATTGTCTACCTAGTGGCTTGATGCTCCAACTGCGCACTACTGTTTTGCACACTCTCGTTCCATGCTGCTAAATCATTGAGCTTGCCAGATGGAGGTGGTGGCAACTCGTAACGTTTCATACTAAGAACTTCCATCGGCAAACGATTCTGCATTCTCTCGAACTCGTGTTTCATTACTTCTGTTTCGAACGCGGTTATATTCAGAGGCTGCAAATGTTCTAGATAATTCTTTGTCGGTCTGTAACGCCGCGTCTCTTCATCTACCATCGCCAGTGCCTGGAACGTTGGGTTTCAGATATTTTAAAGAAGAAATACGCGAGTTTATTATTATTTTACATCTTCTTGGAGATGTAAAACCTTCAATTATTACGTTGCTTATTTTATTCAATGATAAAAGAGGGGTATATGATTTATTATTTACCGCTTCTCGCACGCCAGGTTCATCGTATCCCTGGTCGATATACGGTAGCGCATCGACGATCACTTCTCCAGCCATAATAAATTATTAAAATAAAACTATACGAAACTACTTTTTACAGATAACAAATGTTTGTAAACACATCACACGGTCATCTCGGTCAGGTGTTTTGTCAAACGCCAATGAATATAAGATATATAGAAGAAAACAAACTACAAGCAGAGAGAAGACTGAGAGATGTCATGGCTAGAGAACCTCTAGGAGAGAGAATGGACAACTGATCATGTGACATGTGATCAAGATTTTTCATGATTGGCTGGCAGAAAATGTATCAATTTTAGCTATTGCGACGCCAATGCAAAATATGATCACACACAAATAGGTTAATATATGTGTGTCATGTGTGTCCTATTTGTGTGTCATCATATTTTGCATTGGCGTCGCAATAACTAAAATTGATACATTTTCTGCCAGCCAATCATGAAAAAGCTTGATCAGTTGTCCATTCTCTCTCCTAGAGGTTCTCTAGTCATGGCTTAGTGTCCCTATTCTAGGGACTACAGTGATTGTCACTCAGACCCAATGCTTATTGGCTAGTTGAAAACAGAGAGAAACGTGAGAGCGGCCACCTCGTTTTAACGGGTATATTGTCCTAATGCGCTCCCTGACAAAGTGGACGTCAACTACATCCATTACAGTCGATAATAATACATGGTTCGTGTCAGAGCTATGGTTCATGTCCAAGCTATGGAGTGACCCCAAAAGTGATACTCCCTCTATGGACATTCAAAACATGGACATGAACCACAAAGTCAGAGTCCATGAATGTTCTCAGAGGGTAATATATAATTGCACAATTTCTGGTTTTGTTCCGTGCTATGTGCACGAAATGCCGGTAGCACCAGTGCTATATAACAATTAAATACTTATGTGTGTAAATTGATAATAAATAAATTATTCAATCGCGACAGATACTGTAATATTCAAAGATGAAATAAATATTTTTCAAAATAAATTGGTAAATAATACGGCTCTATGTATTTATCAACATGATAATTAAGTAAAGAGCATTAAGAGCCCACAAAACGCGGATGGCAATGCGTAAATTATTTCGAACATTAATTGTTCGCGAAATTTTTTTTTTTTTTTTTAAATGCGTTATTAGGAGAACATGATTTGTAAAGAGGTCATCAACGCATCATCGACCTCTTCGCACAATATATTCTCCTGATAATATAAATTATAAGAAACGAATTTTTGAAAATTTTCACGTTTGCGTTATTAGGAGAACGTGATTTGTAAAAAGGTCATCAACGCATCATCGACCTCCTCGCAAAATATATTCTCCTGATAATATAAAATAATAAGAAACGAATTTTCGAAAATTTTCACGCTTGCGTTATTAGGAGAACATGATTTGTAAAGAGGTCATCAACGTATCATCGACCTCCTCGCAAAATATATTCTCCTGATAATATAAAATAATAAGAAACGAATTTTCGAAAATTTTCGCGCTTGCGTTATTAGGAGAACATGATTTGTAAAGAGGTCATTAACGCATCATCGACTTCCTCGCACAATATATTCTCCTGATAATATAAATTATAAGAAACGAATTTTCGAAAATTTTCACGTTTGCGTTATTAGGAGAACATGATTTGTAAAGAAGTCATCAACGCATCATCGACCTCCTCGCAAAATATATTCTCCTGATAATATAAATTATAAGAAACGAATTTTCGAAAATTTTCACGCTTGCGTTATTAGGAGAACATGATTTGTAAAGAGGTCATCAACGCATCATCGACCTCTCGCAAATATATTCTCCTGATATATAAATATAAGAAACGAATTTTCGAAAATTTTCACGCTTGCGTTATTAGGAGAACATGATTTGTAAAGAGGTCATCAACGCATCATCGACCTCCTCGCAAAATATATTCTCCTGATAATATAAAATAATAAGAAACGAATTTTCGAAAATTTTCCGCTTGCGTTATTAGGAGAACATGATTTGTAAAGAGGTCATCAACGCATCATCGACCTCCTCGCAAATATATTCTTGATAATATAAATATAAGAAACGAATTTTCGAAAATTTTCACGTTGCGTTATTAGGAGAACATGATTTGTAAAGAGGTCATCAACGCATCATGACCTCCTCGCACAATATATTCTCCTGATAATATAAATTATAAGAAACGAATTTTCGAAAATTTTCACGTTTGCGTTATTAGGAGAACATGATTTGTAAAGAGTCATCAACGCATCATCGACCTCTCGCAAAATATATTCTCCTGATAATATAAATTATAAGAAACGAATTTTCGAAAATTTTCACGTTTGCGTTATTAGGAGAACATGATTTGTAAAGAGGTCATCAACGCATCATCGACCTCCTCGCAAATATATTCTCCTGATAATATAAATAATAAGAAACGAATTTTCGAAAATTTTCACGCTTGCGTTATTAGGAGAACATGATTTGTAAAGAGGTCATCAACGCATCATCGACCTCCTCGCAAAATATATTCTCCTGATAATATAAAATAATAAGAAACGAATTTTCGAAAATTTTCACGCTTGCGTTATTAGGAGAACATGATTTGTAAAGAGGTCATCAACGCATCATCGACCTCCTCGCAAAATATATTCTCCTGATAATATAAATTATAAGAAACGAATTTTCGAAAATTTTCACGTTTGCGTTATTAGGAGAACATGATTTGTAAAGAGGTCATCAACGCATCATCGACCTCCTCGCAAAATATATTCTCCTGATAATATAAATTATAAGAAACGAATTTTCGAAAATTTTCACGTTTGCGTTATTAGGAGAACATGATTTGTAAAGAGGTCATCAACGCATCATCGACCTCCTCGCAAATATATTCTCCTGATAATATAAATTATAAGAAACGAATTTTCGAAAATTTTCACGTTTGCGTTATTAGGAGAACATGATTTGTAAAGAGGTCATCAACGCATCATCGACCTCCTCGCAAAATATATTCTCCTGATAATATAAATTATAAGAAACGAATTTTCGAAAATTTTCACGCTTGCGTTATTAGGAGAACATGATTTGTAAAGAGGTCATCAACGCATCATCGACCTCTCGCAAATATATTCTCCTGATAATATAAATATAAGAAACGAATTTTCGAAAATTTTCACGCTTGCGTTATTAGGAGAACATGATTTGTAAAGAGGTCATCAACGCATCATCGACCTCCTCGCAAAATATATTCTCCTGATAATATAAATAATAAGAAACGAATTTTCGAAAATTTTCACGTTGCGTTATTAGGAGAACATGATTTGTAAAGAGGTCATCAACGCATCATCGACCTCCTCGCAAAATATATTCTCCTGATAATATAAATAATAAGAAACGAATTTTCGAAAATTTTCACGCTTGCGTTATTAGGAGAACATGATTTGTAAAGAGGTCATCAACGCATCATCGACCTCCTCGCAAAATATATTCTCTGATAATATAAATATAAGAAACGAATTTTCGAAAATTTTGCGTTGCGTTATTAGGAGAACATGATTTGTAAAGAGGTCATCAACGCATCATCGACCTCCTCGCAAAATATATTCTCCTGATAATATAAATTATAAGAAACGAATTTTCGAAAATTTTCGCGTTTGCGTTATTAGGAGAACATGATTTGTAAAGAGGTCATCAACGCATCATCGACCTCCTCGCACAATATATTCTCCTGATAATATAAATTATAAGAAACGAATTTTCGAAAATTTTCGCGCTTGCGTTATTAGGAGAACATGATTTGTAAAGAGATCACCAACGCATCATCGACCTCCTCGCAAAATATATTCTCCTGATAATATAAATAATAAGAAACGAATTTTCGAAAATTTTCACGCTTGCGTTATTAGGAGAACATGATTTGTAAAGAGGTCATCAACGCATCATCGACCTCCTCGCAAAATATATTCTCCTGATAATATAAAATAATAAGAAACGAATTTTCGAAAATTTTCACGCTTGCGTTATTAGGAGAACATGATTTGTAAAGAGGTCATCAACGCATCATCGACCTCCTCGCAAAATATATTCTCTGATAATATAAATATAAGAAACGATTTTTCGAAAATTTTCACGTTTGCGTTATTAGGAGAACATGATTTGTAAAGAAGTCATCAACGCATCATCGACCTCCTCGCAAAATATATTCTCCTGATAATATAAATTATAAGAAACGAATTTTCGAAAATTTTCACGTTTGCGTTATTAGGAGAACATGATTTGTAAAGAGGTCATTAACGCATCATCGACTTCCTCGCACAATATATTCTCCTGATAATATAAATTATAAGAAACGAATTTTCGAAAATTTTCACGTTTGCGTTATTAGGAGAACATGATTTGTAAAGAAGTCATCAACGCATCATCGACCTCCTCGCAAAATATATTCTCCTGATAATATAAATTATAAGAAACGAATTTTCGAAAATTTTCACGCTTGCGTTATTAGGAGAACATTATTTGTAAAGAGGTCATCAACGCATCATCGACCTCTTCGCACAATATATTCTCCTGATAATATAAATATAAGAAACGAATTTTCGAAAATTTTCACGTTTGCGTTATTAGGAGAACATGATTTGTAAAGAAGTCATCAACGCATCATCGACCTTCTCGCAAAATATATTCTCCTGATAATATAAATTATAAGAAACGAATTTTCGAAAATTTTCACGTTTGCGTTATTAGGAGAACATGATTTGTAAAGAGGTCATCAACGCATCATCGACCTCTTCGCACAATATATTCTCCTGATCATATAAATTATAAGAAACGAATTTTCGAAAATTTTCACGTTTGCGTTATTAGGAGAACATGATTTGTAAAGAGGTCATCAACGCATCATCGACCTCCTCGCAAAATATATTCTCCTGATAATATAAATAATAAGAAACGAATTTTCGAAAATTTTCACGCTTGCGTTATTAGGAGAACATGATTTGTAAAGAGGTCATCAACGCATCATCGACCTCCTCGCAAAATATATTCTCCTGATAATATAAAATAATAAGAAACGAATTTTCGAAAATTTTCACGCTTGCGTTATTAGGAGAACATGATTTGTAAAGAGGTCATCACCGCATCATCGACCTCCTCGCAAAATATATTCTCCTGATAATATAAAATAATAAGAAACGAATTTTCGAAAATTTTCGCGCTTGCGTTATTAGGAGAACATGATTTGGAAAGAGGTCATCAACGCATCATCGACCTCCTCGCAAAATATATTCTCTTGATAATATAAATTATAAGAAACGAATTTTCGAAAATTTTGACGTTTGCGTTATTAGGAGAACATGATTTGTAAAGAGGTCATCAACGCATCATCGACCTCTTCGCACAATATATTCTCCTGATCATATAAATTATAAGAAACGAATTTTCGAAAATTTTCGCGTTTGCGTTATTAGGAGATCATAATTTGTAAAGAGGTCATCAACGCATCATCGACCTCCTCACACAATATATTCTCCTGATAATATAAATTATAAGAAACGAATTTTCGAAAATTTTCGCGCTTGCGTTATTAGGAGAACATGATTTGTAAAGAGATCACCAACGCATCATCGACCTCCTCGCAAAATATATTCTCCTGATAATATAATATAATAAGAAACGAATTTTCGAAAATTTTCACGCTTGCGTTATTAGGAGAACATGATTTGTAAAGAGGTCATCAACGCATCTTCGACCTCCTCGCAAAATATATTCTCCTGATAATATAAAATAATAAGAAACGAATTTTCGAAAATTTTCACGCTTGCGTTATTAGGAGAACATGATTTGTAAAGAGGTCATCAACGCATCATCGACCTCCTCGCAAAATATATTCTCTTGATAATATAAATTATAAGAAACGAATTTTCGAAAATTTTCACGTTTGCGTTATTAGGAGAACATGATTTGTAAAGAAGTCATCAACGCATCATCGACCTCCTCGCAAAATATATTCTCCTGATAATATAAATTATAAGAAACGAATTTTGAAAATTTTCACGTTTGCGTTATTAGGAGAACGTGATTTGTAAAAAGGTCATCAACGCATCATCGACCTCCTCGCAAAATATATTCTCCTGATAATATAAATAATAAGAAACGAATTTTCGAAAATTTTCACGCTTGCGTTATTAGGAGAACATGATTTGTAAAGAGGTCATCAACGTATCATCGACCTCCTCGCAAAATATATTCTCCTGATAATATAAAATAATAAGAAACGAATTTTCGAAAATTTTCGCGCTTGCGTTATTAGGAGAACATGATTTGTAAAGAGGTCATTAACGCATCATCGACTTCCTCGCACAATATATTCTCCTGATAATATAAATTATAAGAAACGAATTTTCGAAAATTTTCACGTTTGCGTTATTAGGAGAACATGATTTGTAAAGAAGTCATCAACGCATCATCGACCTCCTCGCAAAATATATTCTCCTGATAATATAAATTATAAGAAACGAATTTTCGAAAATTTTCACGCTTGCGTTATTAGGAGAACATGATTTGTAAAGAGGTCATCAACGCATCATCGACCTCTTCGCACAATATATTCTCCTGATCATATAAATTATAAGAAACGAATTTTCGAAAATTTTCACGTTTGCGTTATTAGGAGAACATGATTTGTAAAGAGGTCATCAACGCATCATCGACCACCTCGCAAAATATATTCTCCTGATAATATAAAATAATAAGAAACGAATTTTCGAAAATTTTCACGCTTGCGTTATTAGGAGAACATGATTTGTAAAGAGGTCATCAACGCATCATCGACCTCCTCGCGAAATATATTCTTTTGATAATATAAAATAATAAGAAACGAATTTTCGAAAATTTTCGCGCTTGCGTTATTAGGAGAACATGATTTGTAAAGAGGTCATTAACGCATCATCGACCTCCTCGCACAATATATTCTCCTGATAATATAAATGATAAGAAACGAATTTTCGAAAATTTTCACGTTTGCGTTATTAGGAGAACATGATTTGTAAAGAAGTCATCAACGCATCATCGACCTTCTCGCAAAATATATTCTCCTGATAATATAAATTATAAGAAACGAATTTTCGAAAATTTTCACGTTTGCGTTATTAGGAGAACATGATTTGTAAAGAGGTCATCAACGCATCATCGACCTCTTCGCACAATATATTCTCCTGATCATATAAATTATAAGAAACGAATTTTCGAAAATTTTCACGTTTGCGTTATTAGGAGAACATGATTTGTAAAGAGGTCATCAACGCATCATCGACCTCCTCGCAAAATATATTCTCCTGATAATATAAAATAATAAGAAACGAATTTTCGAAAATTTTCACGCTTGCGTTATTAGGAGAACATGATTTGTAAAGAGGTCATCAACGCATCATCGACCTCCTCGCAAAATATATTCTCCTGATAATATAAAATAATAAGAAACGAATTTTCGAAAATTTTCACGCTTGCGTTATTAGGAGAACATGATTTGTAAAGAGGTCATCAACGCATCATCGACCTCCTCGCAAAATATATTCTCCTGATAATATAAAATAATAAGAAACGAATTTTCGAAAATTTTCGCGCTTGCGTTATTAGGAGAACATGATTTGGAAAGAGGTCATCAACGCATCATCGACCTCCTCGCAAAATATATTCTCTTGATAATATAAATTATAAGAAACGAATTTTCGAAAATTTTCACGTTTGCGTTATTAGGAGAACATGATTTGTAAAGAAGTCATCAACGCATCATCGACCTCCTCGCAAAATATATTCTCCTGATAATATAAATTATAAGAAACGAATTTTCGAAAATTTTCACGCTTGCGTTATTAGGAGAACATGATTTGTAAAGAGGTCATCAACGCATCATCGACCTCCTCGCAAAATATATTCTACTGATAATATAAATCATAAGAAACGAATTTTCGAAAATTTTCACGTTTGCGTTATTAGGAGAACATGATTTGTAAAGAGGTCATCAACGCATCATGGACCTCCTCGCAAAATATATTCTCCTGATAATATAAATTATAAGAAACGAATTGGTTTGTGGGCTCTTAATGCTATTTACTTTATTATCATGTTGTTAAATATTTTTCTATATTCGAGTGTCACCGTGTGAATGATGGCAAAGCTATGACATGTATAGCCGCTTGCTATACGTCGTCAAGGCCAAACATATGATATTAATTGATAATTCTCTGCCGAAATATTTTGCGTACTATATATACACGCGACATTTTAAATAGAAGTATATTTTATTTTAAATTAATTAATTATGAACGATTGATGTATCACGGAACAATCGCGATATATCGCAAACCACCATCATGTTTCGGAGAGCGACGCGTCCACCGCTTCGCCGCGATCGTAGTATCTATATTTAATTAATTAATCGAACGATTGCATTCCGATTCATCTTTTCGTTCGGTATATATAAGTATTTAATCAATTAATCGAACGATTACATTCGGCTTGCCATTTTACTCGCCGCGTTACAGTGAATATCGCGCGAGATAGGCAGGCAACATGCGCGGCGTCGTGCACGATTTCGACTGTCCGCGCGCAGACGAAAAACAGCGAATTTATATCTCGACTTCCAGACGCGATTTCGTTCTTTTTGCATAAAATTCTACACCATTTCGCGGCACTACCGTTTAAATCTCGTCCCGATCGCCCGAAGAGCGGCTGACTTACAGTGAATATCCGAAATTTGCTTCTTGGACTCACACTTAAATGTAATATTTATACATATAATATAAATATATAATATAAATATATAATATAAATAATAGCAAGGAAAAGAGAGAACATATTAATATTTTTATATAATAAATTATTATTAATTAAATTATTTATATTTTTATTTATATTATTTATATTATCAGAGGGACATATATGTTATCCTCTGAGAACCTTCGTGGACATTTGTTTTGTAGTTCATATTTTGTTGTTAATGTTCATAGAGGGAGTATCACTTCCAGGGATAAAGCGAGCCACGACATCTCTCAGTCTCTCTGTGCACGCTCGGTCGGCTTCGGTCAGCTCCAATCAGCGTTGAGCGCATGCGCATCGCATCGCCTCCACGCTGTTGACAGATATGACCAGAGAGAAACCTGAGAGCGGCCACCTCGCTTTAACGGGCACATTGTCTTAATGCGCCGCCTGACAAAGTGGACGTCAACTAAATCCATTACATTCGATAATAATACATGGTTCGTATCTGAGCTATGGTTCATGTCCAATTGCTATGGCAGCTTGAAGTAAGCATGTAATCGTAATTTTCATAATGTGTTGTATTTTTGTTACAGGACATACAAAGTTGGAAAACTTGTCTGCCAATACCCTTAAAAAATTAGGATTATGTGAAGATCATTTCGTTATTACATCATAACGAAGAACGTGAAAGCGCGACGAGTGAAAGAGAAAAGCAAAATCGTAAGCTCGTCGCGTGGCAGTCGCGTGGTCTGTCATTGATGAGACAAAAACAGAACGATGAATTATCGATTCTTATCCGACTGTCCACCTCTGAATAGTTCGGACATGAACCCATATCATAGACACAAACCATGTTTCGTTACCGAGCGTAATGGACATAGTTCACGTCCACTTTGTCAGACGGCGCGTCAAGCATCGAGAAATGTGCCCGTCGAGGCTGGTGGCCGCTCTCAGGTTTCTCTCTGGTTGAAAATAAAGACTTTTGATTGGTCTACTGTCCCTATTCTAGGCTAGTTGAAAATAAAGACTTTTGATTGGTCTAGTGTCCCTATTCTGGGCTAGTTGAAAATAAAGACTTTTGATTGGTCTAGTGTCCCTAGAATAGGGGCACTAGATCAATCAAAAGTCTTTATTTTCAACTAGCCAATAAGCATTGGGTCTGAGTGACAATCACTCCCAAATATTTCGAAGCATTTGATTAGCCAATTGGAACGAAGAGATTTCTATCAGTCAGTGTACACTAGTGCAAAAAGTTTGTTTGTTCGTGCTGAACAAACCTGTTGTTTGTGGAGATTTTGCATGTTATGAATGATTAATTATATATGTGAAGAAAGTTTGAAAAAGATAAAATTAAAATTTTCAGAAAAAAAATTTAAAGGATTTCGGATCGAGATTAGTTACGAAAATCCCTAAGAGACGCCATTTTATTCCTCGAAATATTAGCCGCAGTCGAAACGTTTGTGAAAGTTTTGTGTAGTTTTCCGCTGTTTTTATTCGGAATGTGTGGACCTGCACATTTTTTTCAATCTAAATGATTTCATTTTTTCCAGCGATATGAGTATTATAAAAATTTAAACTTTTGTCAGGTTATACATTCTCAGTAATTATTTCCCTTTAACACATACATATTCATCAGGTTAGTTGACAAATTTAAACAAGTTTTGCTTCTTGATCTCAATAATTTTAATATTTATTTATTTATATTAATAATAATTCAGATGAATACGTTTAAAATTTCTAAGTTAATTGCTTTCAGTGTAATCAGGATAAGAATATTGGAGCTTAATCATGGCTATGCACACTGTTCCACCAAAGCGAAAAGAAATCTACAAGTATGAAGCCCCATGGCCGTTGTACAGTATGAACTGGTCAGTGAGGCCTGATAAAAGATTTCGTTTAGCATTGGGAAGTTTTGTGGAAGAGTACAACAATAAAGTACAAATTGTTTCGCTGGACGAAGAGACATCTGAATTTAGTGCTAAAAGTACATTTGATCATCCTTATCCAACTACAAAAATTATGTGGATACCAGATAGCAAAGGTATTTGCATTTATTTTAATTTGTTATCTTTTCTGGGTCCTATTGATAATCAAATAAATAAATATTTGTTTATTTATACAGGTTTATTTCCCGATCTTCTTGCCACATCTGGTGATTATTTAAGAGTGTGGCGTGCCGCCGAACCTGAGACTCGTTTGGAATGTGTCTTAAATAACAATAAGAATTCTGATTTCTGTGCGCCACTTACGTCCTTTGATTGGAACGAGGTAGATCCGAATCTTATCGGCACTTCTAGTATAGACACTACTTGCACTATATGGGGCTTAGAAACAGGACAGATGTTGGGCAGAGTAAACATGGTTACGGGTCATGTAAAAACACAGCTGATTGCTCATGACAAAGAAGTATACGACATTGCATTTAGCCGCGCCGGAGGTGGTCGCGACATGTTCGCGTCTGTCGGTGCTGATGGTTCTGTGCGAATGTTCGATCTGCGACACTTGGAGCACTCGACGATAATCTACGAGGATCCGCAACACACTCCGCTATTGCGACTAGCATGGAACAAGCAGGATCCAAATTATCTTGCTACTGTAGCAATGGACGCATGCGAAGTCATTATCCTGGATGTTCGTGTACCATGCACGCCAGTCGCAAGATTAAGTAATCACAGGTCAATATAAAACTCATTCATTCACGATTGTTACTTATGTCATATTATTATACAGAGATATTTCATTTCTCGTATTGAATATTTCTTCAATTAATTGCTTTGTTATAGAGCCAGCGTTAATGGTATAGCTTGGGCCCCACATTCGTCATGTCACATTTGCACTGCTGGTGATGATAATCAAGCATTGATTTGGGATATACAGCAAATGCCAAGAGCGATAGAAGATCCTATACTTGCTTACACTGCTGCAGAAGGTGAAGTTAATCAGATTCAGTGGGGCGCCACGCAGCCCGATTGGATAGCCATTTGTTACAATAAAGCAGCCGAGATTCTTCGAGTTTAAATTAAGAATCTCTCATTAAAATATAATTATTTTTAATTTTAATTTAAATGCGCGAATGATAAAGAATTAGTATTTTTTTTTATATTAACTTAAAATATATTCTGAGCGAATGGCTGTAAATAGCAACATTCAATTTTTGCGTCTTTTAACTATGTATATACATTTATAAAAATATTACATAAATTGTATCGATATATAATTAATCAATCATTAATAGTTGAAAAAACGGTTTTTAAATTGCGTTAAGTATAAACATCGATATAATTTTATAGTTAATTGTTATTGCAATAACAGTATATATGTAATACCATATAATATAGCGTGGTTGTAGCATTAATTCCCTCGAATGTGATCAAGTTATTGTGATTACTCGCAATTTTTAGTATGTAATGTACAGATTTTTATATAAGTGTAAATTTTTGATATTTCAAGATGTATTGTATATTATATAATAACACTCCCGACGAATATATATCAATGATTACATCATCAATGATATGAATACCAAATTAACAAGTTAATTTAAAAGTTTAAAATGTAAAAATTTATGTTAAAATTATTTATGTTAAAATGTAAAAATTTAAAAGTTAATTTAAAAGAGACCCATTATGTAATAATATTTATTAACAATTTCAAATTAATAATTAATAATTTCAATATTACATAGAAATTATTGAATTATGTATCAGAATTGACACATATATGTAGAAAGGTATTTATATTAATAAGAGTAAAATTTTTACAAAAAACATGCATGCTTTATGTATTATTATATGAAATATCGTGTGATTTACAAATGTTAAACGAACAATATGCAATTATTTACAATAATGAGCTCTGTATGAGTTTATAATTCGGTCAATTATATAAAATGAATGCGTTTTTTTCGCATTTATTTTGGTCTAGACTGACATTTCGCGCGCGTGTGTATGTGTATGCATGATTTTTTTAGTTTGCAATTTTTTTCCTAGTGCAATAAATATTATTAACTCTGATACAGAGTAAATATACTTTCGCCTTCAATGTAATAAGCAGTGATCTTATTATATTCATGAAACTATTCGATAGAAAATCTTTAAAAATTTCTAAGCATTATCAAGAAAACCACGATAACTTCTCGGTCATAGACGGAATACTTTTATCTGTATCAATACATTTTTATAATGTAATGCAAGAGCTTAATTATCCTCTCACGGATCAATATAAGAAAAGAAATATGCTTTGGCAAGAATCTATGCCTTAAAAGACTTTGAATATATGTATATAATATTTTTATACATGTCTATCCTCTAAGTCAAGTAAATCTGTATATATTTTTATGCGAGACATTATTTATATAAAAGCATTGATTTTTCTTTCTAATGTCGACAAAATAAATTACATCCACTCAATCTCGAACACTCACAAATTATACATGCACGCATTTCGCATTTTACTTTCATTAATAATTTATATTACAAACGAATTGTAAGCAGATCATATATTTACGAGAAATGTTAAAATTCATCTTTTATCCTCTCGTCTCGGTCTGATTTTCTCTCAAAATAACAACATGTGAATTTATATCGCGTAAATAACAACTATTGTATGTGACTTCGCTGAGTGTGTTTACTCTATTTCAATATAAAATAAACTCAGACTAATAGAATACAATACTAGAATACTCAATACTAGAATATTCAATACTAGAATACTGAATACTAGAATACTGAATACTAGAATACTCAATACTAGAATACTACAATTCTCGATATCCTCGAGACGTAAAATTCAAAGTAATTGAAAGATTTATGTAATCTATTATCGCGAGTAACTTTAATGGCAGGTAAGATCATATCTTGCATCGCGAAGTGTCTGAACTCGCCGATACTTTATGTGATCATTGTATAAGACACTTTTCCAGATTCTATTGAGGATTTTCTTTAAACTCTCGAAAAATCGAGTATACAAATTTTTCGAAATTGCTTACAGAACACATAATTTACTCGCAATATAGTAAAGGTGAAGAATCGTGCATCCCATGGTGAGCATGTTTCCCATGGCGACAGACACGTGTACGCGGCGGAACGCTTGATGAATCTTCAAGTAGTGCGGGCAGTTTTTTAGCGGTCCGGTGTTGTAACCGCCAATCTCGTTTCCAACACCTGCCGCGCGTTCCAAGTTGTTTTTCAGCACGATCAACTGGAGCAGCGGAGGTGTTAGGTAGAGACGAATTAACAATTCCAGGAAGAAGGCTCCGGACATCGCACCGACCTACGAATAGCATTAAATAATTTTATTCGTCTCTCTTTTCAATTTTAATAATTTTAAAATTAAGTAGAAAAATTAAATTAAGAAAAAGTCAAATCTCTGAAAAGTTATATCTATTAAAAAATGTATATGTTATGTATGTAAAAGAAAAATCTGCCTTTAATTTTTAAGATATTATCTACTCACCTGAATAGCAATTTCGGCGTCCCATGTGCACGTCGGATGGTGTTTGACGAATATGAGGAGAGTGGTGAGACTCAAGCATGCGTTAATCGTAAAATATCTCGGAAATAGAACACGCTGCACCTCACCAAACGCGTGTCGTGGTAATGCAAAGTATAAGGATAAACCTGCAAACAAATTATCATATGTGTAAGTAATCAATTATAGAAACTTATGTAAGAAAAAAAGAGAAAACTCACTCTCTATTCTTACGATATACAGATATTTCGATATTTCTTACTTACCTGATACGAAGGTCATCCAAATTTGCGCACCAAAATGTATGACGAAGGATGCAAGATAAATGAAGGACGTTATCCTTGAATAAGAATAGCTAGAAGCCTGTGCTTTTCCCTTTGTTGAAACAAGGAGCGATGCAACAAACAAGACCGCTGCGATCACGATTACGTGAGTGGGTTGTGTTGTGTGAAAGAGGATTCTGCAAAAAAAAGCATAATTATGAATTTAATATCTCGATCTCTCTCAATTGCGGGAATTTTAATTAAAGAAAACACTCTGTTCCGGATCAATCAAAACTTTTTTGATAATTTGTAAAAAGAAATTAATTTTTTTTTCACGTAGGAATATGTTAGAATTGGCGTTCTTATTGTTATTTTAGATATTATAGTTCAAATTCGAAAAATTTCAAATCGAGAATTAATTAGCAAAAAATTATGCTATTTGCAACTTGAAAGGCTTGGAAGGAATGCAATAAAAATACATTATCTCGATTGGAATCGTAACAGTCCATGTGGTCTGATTAGATCTTTTTCATTTTTTTCTCATTCTTATCACCATAAAAAAGTTTACAGTGATGATCCAACTTGACGCAATTTGCGAGATATACTCCAAGCACCGTATGTTCTCGATCATATCTTTGCAATTGGATATTATATAATTTGCCGAGTATTTTGAACTGTATGATTATTTAATACATGGTACGCAAGTCTGCGGTCCGCGATATCGATGAATTCGAATTCGTCACAATCTTCTTTAAATAATTTAATTTATGTTGACGTAACGTCAAAGTCAAATAAATCTGCCGAGGTTGAAGACGTCTGAGAATGCTTTGCTGTCAATGCAAACATGTGATTAACGCTTATAGATTTGTATGTCCAATTTTGAAATAAGTTCAAGAGCATGTAGAACTTTTGCTTTCTAACATACAACACACCCATGCACACACATATATGTGTGTGTTGATTTATCATAATTATCCTATTTATTTTCTCGTCGTAGAAAATTGTTTTCTATATATGAATACGCGAATATATTATAAAAATATATTTATAATATAAAGAGATGAAAAAGTATTATATTTGAAAGGAATGTAATTTATATATTATTGTAATTTATATATTACTTATTATCATTCATATAGTTCTCATATGACGCAAATGTTAAAAATGCAACGCATGAAGAAGATGAAGAACTCGTTAGTAAATTTCAGCAAGCGCTTCCTGCTGAGATGACACGCATTTATGCCTGTGGCATATCGAAGACGCACAAATAGCAATAATTTTTGCACGTACAAGCACGTGTGTCAACATGTATGCATTCGCGCACACATACGCGTGACTCTCTCGAAATTCTCCGAAGTGTCTCGCGTATTTTATGCCGGTGCTGTTACGAAGATGCTGATGTACGCATTCCCTGATTAAGTACCCCGACGTCTGCCTGCAACGTTTCTTTTTTTTTCTCTCAATAAATTGAAAGCGCGCTCGCATATTTGCCAACGCGATATTCGCTTCGATAAATCTCGGTCCTTTTGATTCTGCATATTTTGAATAACATTATGCAAATTTAATAAAAAAGAATTTGCATAATCATCCGTTTCTGACCACTCGATCAGAAATTATTTCTATTTATCTATTTTATAAATAGACACAAAGTGATTCTAATTCTTTCAGAAGGTAACGCTTTTAATTTATCAATCAAACGCGATTTAACGTGACGTATATCAAATTATCGCATATGACGCAGCCTTTATTTATTCATTAATCTTAACAGCAAACAAATAATTTTACATGTTTGCATCATAAAATTTTTATCTTTCAAAATTGTCTAATTTATCAAATTTCAGGCGTACGTCGTTTAAAATGTAATAATGGTCGCTAATGTGTCATGCTGCTGAATAATTATATACAATTTTCGCCGACGTATATAATTTACGTAATTGCACGAAGGGAGATCGCAAGAGAGATATTCGCGAGAGAAATTACTTTTTTTTTCGTTAACCAGATAAAAGTATCGTCGTGAATCAATAGGCGAGCATCATCCTTGGACTAATTTTACATTTGCAAATAAAATCACGAGGACTGATCTGACTGTCGAGAGACGTTTTTTTTCTGGCAATCGTAGAGCATTCTTGATAAGAAACATTTGTAACAATACATTGCGCGCGATCACACTCTTGATCTGTTTCGAGTGTCAATTAATCGCGACGAGGTCAACCAATCACAATACGTTTGTCAGTGAATTTTTTGCCCTCAATTGTCTCTTCGTGATTAATAAATCGGTGTTTGCGCGACACAAGTAGGTGAACATGCGAGACAAAAAAATCCAGCACGCGACGTTTTGCGTCACATCTGTCTATCTCGTTTGTTATAGACCCGCATATTTTTATCTCCTATATTTTATCATTCCCGTTATTTTTATATCGGTTACGATAAGTGCAAGATGCATGGTGAAACAAATGTATCCAACGAGAAATTTAATTAAATAATGAGATTATTTTGTCTTTCATTTATTTCATTAACGATGCTAGACGATTTTATTTATTTATCTCTTTACCGTTCGTCAGATATAAAATATTGTGAGATAGTTAGATACCTCTTTTTCTGTCACTTTTTCTTTATTTTAATCAAATGCATATATTGGTTAGATATATTGGTTAGATATATGAATAGTTAATTTTTCTATATTTCTTTCGTTCTTAATATTTTAATTATTTTTTATTATTTCTGCTTTTTCCATTTTTTATTTTATTTTAATCTCTCTCTCTCTCTCTCTTGTTATCTTATATTTTTTCATTTAAAGATTGTATATCCCGTCTTTTATTTATGGTGCAGGATCTGCGAAAGAAAGAGAGGATTACGATAACCGCGATTCGACATGCGAATAATCGGACGTACGTTTGTGTGTGTGCGTTACGAGTCTGGCATTATCAACGGGAAACGTGCAGGATGGCACGCACGATCTATGTCGCTTAGATTGCGACGGTATATGATTCGCAAAAGTCAGTCAGTCCTCTCTTCGGTTTTAATAACCGTACGAAACACAATGAGTGCGAATCTCTCATTTGCATACATCTGATCTCTCCTTTTTGCTTCAAAATGTCGCGTTACTCCTAAAATGTAACCTTGTAACTCTAAATAAATCTATCTTTAAATACAAATTTAATACTTGGAATATATATATATATATATATATATATATATATATATATATATATCAGTTCTGTTCTGTACATCGATTAATTTCAGTTATAAACAATAATCTCAATTAATAGGTGAATCTACATCAAGACAATTTTTACACAAAGTTAAATAAGAATCTGAAATAAGTGTGGTGGAAATTTTATTAAAGATATAATATCGTCAAAAATAATTACGTCATATTTCGAATAACTGAATGTACATATTGGAAAGAGAGAGAGAGAAAAAATAAATTATATAAATTATTAATAAACGGAAGGATGACATGTGAATAAACGCTCAATATACTATTCATACATATTGCGATGCGTCTCTAATAAATTATGCGACATAATGGAATGATCAGACAAAACAAACGAGATCATTTATGCCTCATTTGTGATTCTTTAAAGATGCGAGAAAGGTGCGTGATACTCGACGAATTTACCAGTTTTGACACGGCAGGCAGATTACAGGTATTTGGTATGCTCGTGAACTCGTTATACAACTTATCGTTTTGCGCGTGCTAAATTTCTATAAAAAGAAATCCTTGAAATTTTACGTATTTCCAATTATCGAAAACGATTGATTACGATTTAATATATATTAGTATAAAAGGCTTTTCGCGTACACAAATTAAACAATGGAATCCAAAACTAAAAAAGACAACAAAATTATATATTCTTCAAGTTAATAATCAAGTTAATTTTAGATAGAATTAGCTAGAATTTTTAGAGAATAATTACATTTTTTATTTTAATATTAATTAGAAAAATATACGATAGAAGAAATTGAAAGCTTGCAATAAATGATGTTATTTTTGCTAAAAAGAAATTAATTGCAAATTAATGTATTAATTAAGTGCAAAAACAGTTGTTATTAAAAAGATATCTAACCTTGCGATATTCTATAAATATATATAATAAACCTTTGTTAAAATGAAATTTCTTTACGGTTGTTTTTTTTAACAGTGATTTATATATATAGATATGATATCTATGTAATATATATGTTGTATTTTCGTACGAGATATGCAAAATTTATAATATAATAATTATGAAATATATATTTTATATATACTGATGTGACCTGATTGTGACATACATTTATTAAAGAGCCGTTAACGCAAGAGCAATTATCGGGAACAATCGATTAATTTCAACCAATATTCAAAATGTTTGAATGCTTGATCAACGGACTATTTAATAAGAAATCTCCTCGAGAGATAATGTTTCCTACGCCTTTGCGTTATAAACGGGTTTCGGCGGTTGTCCGAAACGCCCAGGATATGTAATTATGTTTTTTTTATTGGAATTTGTATCACGCGTGACCACGTATGCTGTGTCAGCTCAAAAATGTATACGTATGCGATTTCAGTGCGAGAAAGTCGCGATTCCATTAAACTTTATTGTACAAACAAAAATTAACGATTGCCTCCCGTGCAAAAAAACACGCGTTATGTACATTATCAAAAATGCACGCATTATATATATATATATACAAAAAAATAACGTTATATTGTATAAATGTATAAATTTTTTACATTACATTATTTATATAATTAACATTAAGATTAATTAGAATAATAGTTAAATATAAATATTTTTCTTTGCTACGAGATTTTTGATATATATATATATATATATTTGTATGTTGTGTGTGTGTGTAAGAAATTATTATAAAAAATAAATGTTAGAAGATAAAGCAATAAAAAAATATTTAATCTCTTTATAAACGACTTCTTTGAAGGAATGAAGTTTGCGTGCACGTCCTTTACAAGAATGCATTCATTTATCTCTCTTTCTTTTTTTGAGAGAATGGCGATTACACGAACATGACACGCAGCAAGAGCGGATACAGTCATCGGTCTGTGTGTTCTCCCACGAGACACATCGTAGACTTGTAATCATTATCCAATTATCCGACTAATTATAGGCACGCGATGTTAATGCCCGAGAACATTGCACTCGAGAGCGATTTAATCGATGTTTCTTGATTACACATAAAAGTGCAATCACTAAATAAAAGATATGTTTACGGAATTATATGGAATTATTGAAATATCGCGTTATCGATATGATAAACTTTACGTCGAATTAAACGGACTCAGAGATCCGTGAAAGTTTTTCGATTCTTTTTCTTTTTCTTTTTTTTAGAAATTATACTTAGATCTTTTAGAATTATCGGAATCCAAATCGTTCACAAAATATCGAGAGAAGAAAAAGATGTTATCAGTAAAAATTATTCCAGAACTTAGTGACAACTTTTGAAGAGGATAGTGCGTCAATTATGACGTCATTGGCACCTTTGACAAGAATAGATAAAAGAAGGTATGCGTCACATCTAAAATAAACTTCTTTTAACCGCGAATTTTACATTTTTTCAAAAAAGGAGATCTATTTATAATTTTATATATATATATATATATATATATATATATATATAAAGATTGAAAAAAGAAACAATGCTCAATAAAAATAATCTCTCGTGGCGTGTCATTACTAACTTGATTTTTCAAAATTATAGCGTATTTCGTTTCGGCAAAAAAGGACATTTATTGTCCAAATTATAATGTAACAATAAAAAGATAATGTGACAATAAAAAGAAATTAAAGAGAAATCTTTTTAAATTGCTATTTCGATGACGTCTTCGCGCGCCAATAGATTGCTGTTTTCATAACGATTCTTAAAATAGAGATCAAAGACGAGTACTGACTAGATGCACATATGTGTCTTACAAATGGGAGGCAATAAATGTGTCATATGATGGAAAATTTATCGCGAAGATAGAAAAGATTTTTTTAGATAGACCATGTACCATCAGTTTCAATTATTCGCGGAATTTAATTTAAAACATTAGATATATAGACATTAGTAATACGTTAGTAATTTTTCGGTGATTTTTTCTGATAAAATTAAAAAATACATTTATCTTCTGAATCAATAAATTAAGCGGAAGGCTCTTATCACGAGAAGGTTCTTCATCGCAATATCAAAATCCAATTAATTAATTTTTATCATATGCCTAGAACTTACGTATTAAAATCTAAATGTGTTTGTAATGATTAAAATAGAATAGTCATAATAGAAATATCGTAAATAGCTGACAATTTTGTAAATCTATCTATTTTGACAGCGTTAAAAATGATCCTATCTTTAACTCTTCGAAAATGAAAATGTAAGATATATGTTTATTTTATTTATTTAATTACTTGTAATTATCGCGTTCTTAATATATATAGAAATGTTAGAAATTGATCTCCCTGTAGAAATAATTTTAAAAAAGACTACTAGCATTGCTAATTAAAGTCGTAAATTATGCTTCTTTCATCATGAACAGTTTGCTCCGCGATATATTTTATCATTGAAATTTTATGCAAAGGCATTATTAAGTTTTTGTCAATAAATTTCGGGCTGTGTTGCACTGCTTTTCGGATATATTATGTATATTTTTGCATAAAATGTTAAAAATGTTATCTAAACAGATTGGAAAAGATGAATAAAAGTATATACTACCATTATATTACGCGCGTATATGTATTGATTTGGTATTATGAATGATAAATCGTAATTGGATTTGCAAATCCAGAGTGATTAAGTCGTATATGATCGTATATATGTAAAATGACTTCAACTCACAAGACAATTACATATATATGATAAGAACATTGCATATACAAAGGTCTTTTCTTGCACACATCGCATGCAAAAATTTTACGATAGCAATCGTTTTGTTTATTTTAAGTATGTGTACTTTCCAAAAGTAAATCTTGCATATATAAAGATTCTTTTTTATCAACGACACACGGTGTCTTAAAACTCGAAACATTTCTTTGCAAGTGTGAAAAATATGCAAGACTTGCCTAAGTTGAGAACTTTGTAATTGCATCTACAAATTGTAACGAGATCCTTATAGAGGGGACAAAACTTCACGCGTGAACTCGAAGAGTTTGTCTAACATGCGAGAGTGCGTCCAGCTCTCAGATCTGCCTCCTCTGAAGAAAATCGTCTTTGATGAAAGAAAGCGAACGTCTGATCGATAAGACGAGAGTCAGATAAGTCTGACGAAATCTGTCGGTTTTTATGCAGAAATTTTCAAATTTTGTATTAAAAATTATCAAAGAGGGAGAGAGAGAGAGAGAGAGAGAGAGAGAGAGCAAATTTTTTATACTTACTTGAACGCTTTGGAGTGACCCACGATCTCGTAGTACTTGGTAAGCTTCTTCAACAGCAGGCTGTAGTGAACCGTGCTCGCGGTCAGGACATTGTCGGCCAGATAGAGCGCGTTTCTCTCCTGCTCTCGCTGACGCAGGAGCTCCTCTTTCTCCAGCATCTCCTCGTGAAGTTTCGTGTACTTTTCCTTGGCACGGGACAACTTGCCGCTTTTTTTCTTCGAATCGAGTAACATCGTTTCGTTACCAACCAATGTACGTACACACATGGTGCCTCGCTGCCAATGTACCGTGATATCAGTGAATCTCAAAGTTATCTCTTGTTCAAAAACGATGATCTTTGAACGGGGCACTCGGGTCACTTGAAGACTGTTCGCGATTTCCCTATCCCGTTGGCAAGTTACTGATCTCTCGTGTCTCTCCTCTCTATCTATTTAAATGCTCCAGCAGCGCAGGTGGGTTTGACGAACTTGAATGTGCTCGATAGCGCGATAGCCTGTCGTCGAGGGTGACCGATCACATCCGATCGTTTGATATGCGTGCCGTGCGTGGGAGAGAAATTCTACACTTGCTATTTCTCTCTCTTTCTGATTTTCTCTATCTCTCTCTCTGCCCGATTATCGCCGTAGAGTGCGCTGCGCCTCGACACCGCTCCACTTTTATGTCACTCCCTCTCTTTCCTCCGGTTCTCCGTCTCTACGAGGTGGCGAACGGATGCGAAAGGGTTGAGGCGCCATGGGTCTCTTTTTTACAAGAGAGAACGCTGATGTTTTTTTTTTCGCGGTGGCATTTTGATTCTCAGAATTGAATCTTCTATAAAGAGAATGTATATAGAAATATTTACGATTTTCACTCTATATATGTAACGTGATCTTTTCTTTTATAGCGTATATAATAGCTTTATATTCATTTATAAATCTAAACAGATTATAATAAAATATTCGAGCATTGCAGGATTAATATTTTTGTATTATATTTTACACAGGTTGAAATTATTATAAAAAAGAGCCAATAAAGAAGTGAGTGAGAGAAATTAATTGCACAACTCACATGTGAAAATGTTAAATTCATTTCATATGATAGAAATATTCGAAATAAGATATTCATTCATTGCTGATCAAAATATTCAATCATGCAAGGTCTATTTTTTTATTAAATTATAAAGTATATTATTTCTTTCGCATCGCATTATTAAATAATAAAAATGATGCATACGTTTCTAATTTTAAATTGAGACAATAGATTTGTTATAATTTACAATAGATTTGTTACAAAGTTACGGGAACTATTTATTTATATAATTTACTGCTCGTGATATCTAATTCTTGCATTCCTATTTGTATTATTCTTCGACCCAGATAGCAGAGTGACATCTTAATAACGTTTTAATGACGTCATTGTATGTCATTAAGACGTCTGAAGACGTCATCTTGCTACCTGGGGAGAACGTATTACTCATCTTAGAGAATGTATAATTCAAAAACAAGAAAAAACAATATAGAATTTTTACAATTTCTACAATTCAATACAGATTAAAAAAATCTCTCGAGATATCTCATTATCGATAATGAATGTTTTACAATATTAATTGTATGTATTATATTTAGATGTAAATTACAATTTTCGCATGATTCTCGCACTTGTCGTTACATAAAAATTATGCAGAGTTAAGATGATTTACGGAAGTATGGAAACGGTGACGAAAACCTTTCGACTAACGTGTAAATATTGATAACGATAATATACAGTTCGTGTAAATTCACGTCAAACTGCTGAAACTGTCAACAGTCGAGTCGAATTCGAGAAAGCTTGTAAATATCTGTTACGAACATGTATAATCTCATTAAAATTTCAGGAACCGATAATCCATCCTGAGAATGTCGCTAAATCAGGAACCGGTAATCCATCCTGAGAATGTCGCTAAATCGAATAATGATTCATGTACATCGAAAAGTAATAATCATCGCGGGTATCGGGAAATAGTTATCGCGTAAATAGATATCAAAGTTAAGATAGAGTTTTCGCATTTCAATATCCCAATTTGGTGCTATACAAATCACGTCTGATTTTAATATTAAATTTTCAAGTATGATATTTTTATAAAAGTATTTTTATAAAAGTATTTTTTTCGAAAAGTTTCTTTTGACAGACATATAAAGGAAAAAAATGAAGATTTTACTTATTAAAATTGTACAATACTTGAAACGCCTAGGATATTGCTACAATCGATTTACAATTTCACTTTTGATTGCAACGACGAGCCGTCGTTGAAGCTTACAGATTTTCAGGGATGAGCTAGTGCAAGCTTCCGGCGTCAATCACGAGAATCATTGTTAAATTGTCATGTGCGGAAGCGCAAATCCGATGCTGCGCATTATGCAACGCACGTACGCACGTGTGATGTACGTGCCAGGAGATAGACGATCTTGCTTTCCAGTCCATAGTTCGAGAAACGAACTTGAATGGAATTTTTTTTTCGGCGAACAAATTATCTCGCTCTGAATTATTAAAGAATCAGCTCCGCTAATTGCGAGAGAGAAAGAAAGAATCATATCTTTTAAAATCGCGCTCTCTCTCTCTCTCTTTCATGTGTTGCCTCTTTTACATATTATCGATTTCTTCTCGAGAAATACCGAGACGTGAAATCCAATAGACGTGAGGCCGAGATAGTAGGTCTTCAGTTCACGAGACTAAAAAAATTATTTATACGCTAGTAAAATATGTATATTTTACAATGATTTATGATTTTTAATAGAGCAATATAAGAAATTTTTATCAAAAATAGAAACTCGCGAAAAATAAAGACTCACAATGTGCAGACAATATTATAATATTATATATATATATATATATATATATATATATATATATATATATTATTACGAAAAAATCGCGATTAATAACGCTTGATTAAGACAGTTTATTATTGTTAATTCGATCAAGTAATTATTCTTTCTCGAAACAAGTGGGAATTCTCGGTATGCGACAGTGTCACCAAAAAGTGGCGCTTATCACTTCCTTTTCCTCTTATATTTCCTGTAAGGAAATCCTATATCATCCTATATAAATCCTATATAATCCTCTTATATTTCCTTCTAGGAAAAAGTGGCGCTTATCATCTGTTTTTCCTCTTATATTTCCTTATAGGATTTAAGCGCCACTTTTAAGCCATTATTAAGCGCCGCTTATCATCTCTTTTTCCTCTTATACTTCCTGTAAGGAAATCCTATATAATTCTATATAAATCCTATATAATCCTCTTATATTTCCTTATAGGGAAAAGTGGCGTTTATCATCTCTTTTTTTTCTTATATTTCCTTATAGGATTTAAGCGCCACTTTTTGGTGACGTATTAAATACGCAATCATGATGTACTTGCAATACGAATCGCAGCGACGATGAAATATGTACGTCGCATAGTTGCATAGCTGTCACTCGAGCGCGTATTGACATTTTGCACGCGCGCGATTAACAATTTCTACACAATCACGTCGATCGAATAAAACGCGTCTCGCCTGACGCAACAGTGGCTTCTACTTTAAGAGAAAGAGACACAAGAATCAATTTAAAACATGTAATGACATTTTTATATGTATTTAATAAAATTGTAACGTTTTTGTACAATAGAATTCACATGCGCACTCTTGGTTTATAAAAAGAAAATGAAGTATTACCGTCAATTTTTTTATTTCTTCTTATTAAATCTTTTCTTTTCAGAGCATTTGCGCGCAATATTTTATAAGTGAATTTGATTTCTTCCTCTCCGAGGGATGCGCCAAAGATATGTTTATCTAAATGATTTGATGACTATTATGAGCGTTAGACTCTTATCAATGCCCATACAGTACAGAATATTGCAACAATATTATTAATATTGTTGTAATATTGCAGCAACATTGTCCCAATATTACTGCAATATTTTGTGCTGTATGGATAGTGATTTGAAATTATTTTTGTGTTTAGCCTGTATCGTTATCAATGAATAGTAATTTACTAGTAATTGTCAATTCCATGTCAAACGCATCAAAGAATTCGTGTGCTAAGAGATGAAACCAGAAAAAAATTATTTATCTTCCATTCATTCAATGCCCATTCCATTCATTCAACTTGCAAAGTCAACGCACCATCAAGTGCTGTCAGTTGCAAAGGCTGTCGACCGCAAACCTTTTAGCAAGATGCGAATTATTCCTGCACAATTACTATCTATTTATAGTCGCACATACGCGTTACTCTGACATTATTCCCAAACTGTTATTCATAGATCTGCTTGGTGGTCTTTTCTTCAGGTTTTCTTTTTCTCTTTTATATTGTATATTATATATTGTATGATCTCTAAATTTTTGGCATTTTATTTTTCTCCTTTATATTGTCTATTATATAATCTCTAAATTTTTGGTGTAATCACGATAATTAGATATTATTATTTTTTGTGTAACACGCTAAAAATGCGATAGAAAGCACCTTGTTAATAAATTTATTTTGGGTGTCGCATATAAAGTGGATCATGTAAATAAACCGTTATGAATGTATATGAAAGTGGATTGCACAGGACGCGAATGTGTTTTAACATTCAGTTGAAAAGACAATTTTTATCTCGACATTATATTTTTCTCGAGTTTTTTCATCGCGAATTTCATCCTGCGCGAGATGTACGATCAAATTGAATCGCTTATCACGATAATTGGCATAGATCGATCCAATAAAGCAGGAAATATGAGCACGTGATGGTAAAATGATTATTGCCGGCAAATTTATTTTAAAATTTATACATGGCGTGCTACATTAACTCACATTTATTAGAAACTACATTCAAATCGAGGATATAATATAATGAAAAAATAATGTATAGAAATAAACTATGGATAGAGTATGATCACGAACGCGCTTAGTCCACGGCGATCTATGAGATACAAAAAAAGAATTAAGTCAATTATTCTTAGCTTTGATCCATCGCGTTTGTCTCATTCACGTTACTACCGGTACAGTCCTTTTGTATTATCTCGAAAAGTGGCTGCAATTCCGGCGTAGCCTTAATTTGTCCAACAAATTCACTCAACGATGGATTTTTATCTGCAAATCGATATTTTATATTACTTTTAGAATCAAAAGTTGATTTGTTTTAAATTAATTTAATCTCTTTTCTCATTTCAAGATAATTCCACTTGCCTGCATCGGGGATAGTCAATAATGCTGCGACTGCTCTTAGGGCGGAACGTTTCAACTCGTCTTGCTTCTCATATTCTTGCTTCACCGAGTTCGCTTTTACCTTCATTGTGCAAGTACTTTTGAGTGGATCCACTAATCGTTCCAATCCTATGTAAGCAAAAATTAGAGGATTAACTAAAATTAACTAAATATTATGATACGCGCACGCATGTGTGTATCAAAAGTTTTAGTAAAACAAATGGAGAATGATCGTGTGTGATCACTCACTTTGTAAGACAGCTGTTGGGCATAACTGTGCGAGTCGCGCTGTCATAAGATAAGTCAACATTTTGATATCGTAGTGGTCTCGGAGACCGTTTTCCACATGATTTAAAAATTCGAAAACATCCAATCTATCGAGACATGAATCCAATAAGGTATACATGCATTCAAACGCTGCCTTACGGAGATCTAATCCATCGTCCACCGTATGTTTAAACGGACCCATTTCGACTTCTCTGATAAGTTCTTTCTGTATATAAAAGAAAACTTTTATATTATGTTATAAAATTCTAGAAAGATAGTATATAATTTAAATCTTAATTTTTGTTAGTTTAAATCTTATTAACCTTGATCTTGGTTTCTGCATAAAGGTGTGGCAGTACCGCATCTAAAAGATCCCTTATCAACATAGGTTTATTGTGCGCAGCGGAATTAAATGCGACTAACGCTACTCTCCGAACGTTAAGATCAGGATCTTCTAAAGCAACTAGGAAATTACCCATACATTGCTTCAACATGGCATCAATCGGTTGTGGCTGCAATATATATACATATATACATATATAATATTATAAAAATAACAAAAAAAAAAATTATATATATACATTTCGTACATATTCATACATATATACATTTCTAATATATAAAGTATTTGGAAAATCGCCCACAGCACTTTAGGAAGTGATTCAGGATCCAAAAAGAAGGAAAAAAGTTATATAACATAGGTTCAGAAATAAGTCGTTTCCGAGTTATAGCCACTTTTATGTTAAAAAAAATTGTAATTTATAGTTCGCTTGGCAACCCCCTTTTTTTAATTTTTTTAATTTTTAAATTTAAATTTTTAAATTTGAATTTTAAATTTAAATTTGAATTTAATTTTTAAATTCAAATTCAAATTTAAAATTCAAATTTAAAAATTTAAATTTAAAAATTCAAATTTAAAAATTCAAATTTAAAAATTCAAATTTAAAAATTCAAATTTAAATTTAAAATTCAAATTTAAAAATTTAAATTCAAATTTAAAAATTTAAATTTAAAAATTCAAATTTAAATTTAAAATTCAAATTTAAAAATTCAAATTCAAATTTAAAAATTCAAATTCAAATTTAAAAATTCAAATTTAAATTTAAAAATTTTAAATTAAAAAAGAATATGAAGAAGAGGGATACCAAGCGAACTATATATTTTTTAACATAAAAATGGCTATAACTTGGAAACGGATTATTGCCGGACCTATGCTTATATAACTTTTCTTCTTCTTTTTGAGTCCAGAATCATCGGAAGGATTGCGGGCGATTTTTCGAACACGCTGTATACGCAATTATTGTAGAATAAGTGTTGTCAAAACTTAAAGTACAGTACCTGATCAGAAATGGTGAATTTGACCGCGGTAACTGTCGTTGTTCTCATGAGAGCTGATGATGATTTGAGCGATTCTTGTAATCTTGGTAATAGAGTAGCAGGATCAATTAGGGTTAATTTACCGAGACATTCGGCCACGACGTTACGAGTACCTTCTTCCGTGCATTCGCAATGCCTGTACAAGAGCATCCAAATTGAAGGCACGAAATTTTGCAAATTCGACACGCCGGATGGACTGGCCGACTGACTCGTAATAATCTACAAAAAAAAGAAAAAGAAAGGGATGATTTTATATAGATTTTTAGATGAATTTAATGGAAAAAGAATGTGTATCTTTACCTCTTTTAATGAATGTAAAAGCAGATATTGGCGTTTGGGCTGTGCCTCGATCTCTTGAAGTATGAAAGGCAGATATTCAGGAAGATTTCCAATCGCGATATTTCCTAGCGTGTAACTGGCCGCAGATTTTACCTCTTCCGAATGAGAAGAAAATGAATTTATAATGGTATGTTTCAGCGAATTAATTCCACTCAGATCTCTGTGTAGGAATATTATTTTAAAGACAAATGTTCTTAATATAATAATTTCGAAATAAAAAAAAAAACAGCTGTAGCTCTCTTACACATGTCTTCCTATCTCTCCAATGACCAACAAGGCGAATATGTGTTGGGCAACGTTCTGAATGTCTGACGGATTTTGAACATCCTTTAGCAATTGTTGCACGATACATTGTGCTTCTTCGTGCCATGTGATTGTCAGTGCAGCCGCACACTTGGCTAGTGAATGATAAGCCTGCTTGTGAAGTACGGATTGAGTAACTGGAACTATTAACATCGCGAGAAGGTCTCTGTACCCGAGACCCGGTAGATTCGCTTGTACTAAAGCTTGGAAAAACTCGAGCATTGAATTTAATGCAATACCTGTTCGACAAAATATCAATATATTGAGTACAGTAAAATTTTTAATTCAATGTTATATAACGGAATAACTACCTTGAAGAAGTGGTGACTTTACAAGGATGAGTATCTCTGGCAAGATATGATCAGAAACTCTCGTCAGAGCAGCTGGATGTAACTTTGCAATGGTACTGAGAAGATTCAATGTTAACTGCGCAATGTGTAGGTCTGATTCATTTAATAATGCAGGTAACTCTGTAGTAACCTACGTAAAGATTTAAAGACAATCATTATACGTTTTGTTAAATGTATTATGTATAGAGCACAATTATTATTTCATTACCTTATCAAGTAAGTCTGGATGCAGAGCTGAACTATAATTGCATACCAACGTATCTAGAAGAGGAAGAGAAGAAAGTTTTAAAGCTCGTTGATTCTTTCTTAAAAAGGATCCAAGAATGGGTATTGCTTCTTCCTACAAAAAACAGTAATATTTTGTATATAGGAAAAAGAGAGCTTTGCCATTTTTTATGGTATGTATACATATTATATTTTATAAACTTACCATGATTGGTTTAAGATCGACTCTCAGAGGAGACGCAGCTATACAAGTTAGAGCCTTAACAGTGGTAAGTCTAGTTATCTCGTTGCGCAATCTGTCCAAGAAGATAGGTAGGCAGACATGCAATTTGTCTGACAGAGTATCTCCAAAGTGCGCAAGGATCTGTCCCATACAAGCGATGGCTCTCTCCTTCACTTCCTGATCGATATCTGCCGTTTTGAGCCTCATTAATGTGCAGTGATATATTTCGTTAGATAACGGAGTGAAGCCACGGGAAAAGGGTTTATCTGAAGTAAGCATTAAAATCTCTGTTATTGATTATTCTTATATCTGCAAGTTGCAAAATAAAAATTAAGTAGTATAAAATTGCTTACCGTGTGGTCTGATAACTTGTACGAGTTGCTGCAATACGAGCAAGGCTTCGGCAGCGATCTTATAGAAGGAATCTCCTACAGCTAGTATAATTGGAGGCGCCAAAACTGGCATGTGAACGTGGAAAGCTTCGGGTTGATGAGTCACCAATAGCGTATGCACAAAAGCTAAAGTGTCTATCTTCATATTCGAAGAAGAATTTTTGTCACCCAGGGAATATTGTATGCCGGGAATTAGTGCTGGGATATGATTAGTTAAAGCACCAGGTAAAACAAGCACCAATTCTTTTAGCAAGGAAAAGCAATCTTGTCTCGTTTTGATGCTCTTTTCCTTCATTTGACGATGAACTGCCTTCACAATTAATGGTACTTGCTGTTGTAACAATGCAATAGGTCCATCATCGTCTTCCATTGCGTCTGGATCAAGTGGCACACCGGTAGCTGGCCTCGTTTGCCTCAATAAAGCGATGTACGCGTGAAATATATCTGATTTTACATTTTCTTCTCTTTCTATAATTATATAACATTGAATTTCATTGCATTATAATCATATTGGATAAGAATTGAATAAATATATGTTTTCACACATCTTTGTACATAAATAAATTTTAGTGATCAATACTTGCCCTTAAATCTAGCAATCAATGCAGGTGAAACTACTTTATAAAGATCTGACAACAATTCTCTTCTACTAGATACAACTGCTTCTAGACATTTTGCGGCTGCTCTACGAACTTTCCAACTCATATCATCATCATCGGAATATTCGTCTTCTGCGTCTTCCTCTCCATCTTCTTCTATTTCCATTGCAGTACCTTCTCCATCAGAAAGATCGTTGATATCATCATCATAATTGTAGTTTGGATCATATGTAATATATATTAGGCAGATCTCTATGATCTAAAAAATAAATGGTTTCATTTAATAATAGACACATAAGATGCATAAATGTAATGCTGATAATATAAAATGGATCTAAATTATGTACCTTGTTTATATGAGGCGTAATTTCTTTCGGACATCTATAAACAAAAGATTCAAATGCTTGCAAACAATATTCTCTCAATTCATCATCATCCTCATTACTATATTGAACAATCAATGGCATAACGCGTTCTATCTGCTCGCCGAATCTGTGTCCTGCTTGCCGACTGCAAATAAATTTATATAAATCATATAGTTTATTCTTTTCATCGAATGTAATTATTCGAATATAACGTAGATTGTCTAACCAAATAGAGGCAATGCATTGAATATAGGTACGTATGACGTTCTTTGCCGTTTGAATTTGAAGACCCTCAAGAAGATAATCCAGCAATTTGTTGTATAAATAATTGTTGCTGGACGTTAACAGATGACTCAGCGCTACTATAGTGCGTTTACGGACCGCTTGTCGCGGCGAAGAGAGTTGTGGTAATAATGCGGTCAGAATTGTAGAATGAAATGTGACTAGTAGAGGACCGAAGCGAGAGAGTAAGTCGGCAACAATGTCAAGTGCTTCAAGCTGTACAGATACATCCTCTTGCTAAAAGATGCATCATGTATAAATATATATTTGTCGGAGATATAAAGGAGATTAAATTTTAAAAAATTTAACAAAGATAATTTACCTTTTCAATAGCACTGCTTAATTTGCCTGTGATACGTCTACAAACGTTTGCGACTAATGCACTACAACCTAAAGGAAGCTCGGAAATGACAGTCTTCAGGCCGATGCTAGAAATGTCGCGTAATTGCTCCTTGTCGGATACCATATTGGTACATAGAGCATCCACAATAGTTTCTACTTGGTAATCCTTTACTTTATTAACTAACGGTCCCAAACTGAAAAATTACACATACACATCCATATAACCATGCAATTGAATGAAGAATTCTCAAATAAACGCAACAAATATTTATAACACAAATATTTATAACTTTATATACAAATCTATTATCTAATTATTTGATTTGTGTTCATAAATTTTGATTTTGTATAATATATTAGTACAAGAAATTTAAGAAAAGAAAAAATACAAAATTAATATATGGAATATGTATAAAAGTATACAAAAAAAAAAATATATATATATATAATATCCAGACAAAAAATCTACCATTTGACAGCAAGATTCTGTACTTCTCCATTTTTATCCTCCAATAACTTAAGAAGCATTTTTACAACTTTGCGCTCAGAATCATCATCCAGTTTAATGCTGTCCTTTTGCAGTTCACTCATCAAATCATTAGTTGCCATAAATCTAAAGTCTTTATCGCTGGATGTCATCTACAAAGAGAGCATAGCTGTTTAAAACGTTGTATTATGATACTGTTTAAAATGTTGTATTACGATACTGCAAAAAATATTCATATAACAAAGATATGCTATCATCGATTTCAAAATATAATCAGAGATGATCGATTAATTTATAATATATAATTAATAAAATACAATGATTAATTAATTAGTCTACCAATTACTTGGCTAGAAATGGTTATAATATCCAGGTATAATTTCATACGCGTGTATAAACTTTCGTATAAACTAATATATATAAGAAATACATTAAAAATGATTATATAGAGAAAAAGTTGTCATTTTATGATACATTCATAAAGAGTATCATGAAGTATCGGAGTCGAGTTCACGAACAACATAGTGAGGTTATGTCATCGTGAAAATGCCATGACGGAATGAAATCTCGTGTAAGACGCACAGATTATGAATGATATTTTTTTCGATCGCTATTACACATATACATATATTATGTATGCGCCGAAATGTACGACTACGCGTACCTTCTCCAGCAGGTTCGCTATTTGATAGGAGACACTAGCCATGGTTGCAGAGTTTTTTTCTCACAGCCGGTTCGACGATCGGGCACAACTCTGGCGGCGCGTTTTGTAAGGCAACGAAAAAAAGAAAGGAAAAACAAAGGGATCCCGATAGAACGATACCGACGAATCCTCGCCCCGATAAAAAGACGCACGAGCCGAGATATATAATGTAGTCAGCGCTTTTCTTCCCTTTTTTTTTCTCTTCTTCTCTACTGTAACTTCACTATCGGCAACATCTCTCGATGCGATGCCGAATTTTGACTGAACGTCCGCGTTCCTAAAACCGCCACGAGGAAGCCGCCCGCTCGTCGTTCGTGCTGTGACCGTATCTTCCGCACGCGCATGCGCATCATGCGCAAACACATATACGTATGTGTGCACTTAAGCCTCGTGAAAAAATAATGCCGGCTTAAGAAGTATCTTTCGCTACTTTTAATGCGATTCATCGTCAATCGCGTTGTAGCAACTTAAAATTACAGCCAATGATTTATCTCGCGTCGTGATGCGTCATCAAGCCCCTGATTTCTCGTATTTCACTCTCACGATTACAGATTCTCGGTTGGAAGCAGCAGGAATTGAGGTGCTTTACTCTTATTGTGTTTTAAAGAAAAACAAACTTCGAAATGAGTCTTAAAATTTTAACCGTTTTGAATAATTAAAATTAGCATGATGACGAGCGCTATCACTATTTTCTTGTTTACAAAAATTAAGAATGCAAGTTGATTGCTTCTATTTATTTACAATTTGAAAAATAACACTTATTATGATAGTGAGTACAAACTGCCACTCTATAGCAGTAAAATGAGAAATTTGTCTAGTTTTTGTACTTGTATGTAATACCTAACTACTTAAAGCATATGAATATAGGATAAGAGAATGTAACAGTTGAATAATTAAAATAAATAAATAATTTAACAGTAAAATATTAAAGAAATATGGAAAATGGAATAAAAGAGAATGTTTTAATCAGTCTCACTGTCTTCTTCCGCTGCGCTTTCCTCAGTATTTGGGTCTGCACAGTTTGAGGTAGCCTGATTTTCCTAAAGCGAAAGAAAGTATTTTATACAAATTAATTTAAAGAGTAAGAAAATTAGCATAAGCACGACTTATTATATATTTACAATTTTTTCTTTTTCTGGTGATGCATTGCTCGTAGTTGTTTTTGAACTCGTATTCATAAAGGAAGTGATGGGTTTCTGCCATTCCGGAGTTTCTCTTGGATGATAGGGATTTCCACCTCCATGGCTTTTTCCTACATCTGTGAATAATAAATGTTCTTTTTAACGTCTGTTTTTTTAAAAGAACAACATTAGAAGAATATGTGAAGAGAATGTGTGGAACATGCCATACTTTTTCTAGCATTATTTTTCCTGCCAGGAGTACCCGTACCTTTTCTAGGCGCCTTGCTGGCTACAGCTGACAAACAAACGACATTCAACAAACAATACATTCGCGTGTGCAATTCGTTAATAAGATTAGTCAAGAATATTCTTGTTCTATTTAGCCTACCTTTTGATGGCACTCTGTCCGCCTTTGTCCTCACCATGTTGCTAACATTAATATGCGAAAATTCAAAGAGATTTCTATGCAAAGTCGCAGAAACAAACTTTCGAAATGATATTGAGCTACTTGCCAAAATATCGTTATGAAATTTGAAATCCAGTGTGACCAAATTAAGCATTAGTCAGTTTAACATTACTAGTTTCGCAATTCTAAGGGATTTTTTTTTAAAGCGCGAAATACAAAATAACATTTAAAAATCTCTTCATCGAAATATATAAACTTGAATATACACGAGGAGATTAAATTGCCATTGATGTTAATCTTATAATTTTATTATATGTAGGAGACAAGTACGAGTATTTCAAATCGCATAATTGATCTATTTGTAAAGATATGATCTCATGTTTTACATCTTCTTATTTAATGATTAGAAGAGCAAGCAATGCTTGGTATATTTACAGAAATGTTTAAAGTGCTCACGATACTTGACACTGGTATCGTCGACAGTTTTATCATAAATACAATTTCACGAATTTACAGAGAGAATAAATATGCATATAATGTATGTGTGTGTGTGTATATATATTTGTTTGACAATCATTTGCAATATGAAACTTTTTCTTGACATTAGCATTGCAGTCGAGAATATGACTCGGTTGTTCATTAAAGAAACGAAGACACGAATGAAAATTATATAAAGTAATTTATGTATGTCTCGTACAGCACAGAACATTGCAGTAATATTGCGGCAATATTCCAATGTTGCCGCAATGTTACAACAATATTAATAATATTGCTGCAATATTCTGTGCTGTATCCCCATACTGTGCCCCATTGTATATCGTTACATGCATATAATACATTAAACAAAGCTTTTTGTTTTCAATGGTTGTCATGAAAAATTTCACTTTGAAATGAATAAACGTGTGTCTATGCTTAACACTTCATTATCCTTAAACACCCTGTAAAACGTACAGCTGTGCATCGTATGGTTGTTCAAAAGCAAAAATAGAGATATATTATACAACTTAATATCTTAATACTGAATCACAGAGTCCTGTAGGATAAATGATAAATTATGTCTTTGTATAATCTTTCACAGTTTTACAGTATTATAAATGTTTGCAGCTATATTAAAGAGAAAAATTGATTACATATCGCATATATAATAATAATCCACCCACAGTTTGTCTTTCAAATTTTAAATATATCCGCTATCGTATCGCTTTCGTAAAATAGATATATCCAAGGCTGTACATTCTATAGCTATTCACTCTACAAATTACACAAAAAATTAAAGAATTGTGTTTGTAATGTTAATCTGTAACGCGAGAATATATCGTTACATGTATAAAGTTATTATTATAGTTATTACTTTCAGGCGATTTCTTGTGAAATAATTTAACAATACAACATATTGAGTATATTCTCGTCAATATTCTTCAATAACTTACATCATTTTTTTCGCTATCTATGAAATCGCTGGTATTTCGAAATTTACACTGAGATTTTCAGATTGTGCTAATTTAACAATAGTCGATAATTTTACTGCAACTCGGGCTGCTTCATCCAAATCGTCGATTGGCACGATTTTTAAACCCGCATTAGCGATTAGAGCTTTGGCTTCGTCCACGTTGGTACCCTGTCAAAGTACGAAATGTATTTTTTGGTACCATTTCATAATTATTTACGAAACAAAGTGCATCGCAAATATTATACCTGCAATCTTACGACGACGGGAATTTTTAAACTTAATTCCTTAGTCGCAGCAATAATACCCTCTGCTATGACGTCGCATCTCATGATGCCTCCAAAAATATTAACTAAAAGAGCGTGAACCTATATAAAAGAAAAAGAATATATAAATTATATGTATTAAATCACAGATAAACACAGTGACATTACGCACTCACTCGTGAATCAGAAGTGATAATTTTGAATGCTTCTTTCACTGCAGAAGCCGATGCACCACCACCAACATCGAGGAAATTAGCCGGTTCGCCACCATGTAATTTTATGATATCCATAGTAGCCATAGCTAACCCTGCACCATTCACCATACAACCTATATTGCCATCGAGCGCAATGTAATTCAAATCGAATTTTGCAGCCTCGACTTCCTTGGGATCCTCCTGAGACCAATCCCTCAGACTAAATAGCTCTTTTTGTCTGAATTCAGCGTTGTCATCAAATCGACACTTGCAATCCAGAGCAAAATCTAAAAAAGCATGTAAGTTTGTGAATCATAAAAATAATTGTAAATTACAAGATAATAAAATATTATGAAGAAAAAAAAGAAAGAGAGAGAAAGATTTCAGACTCACAATTCCCATTAATATCTTCTGCGAGAGGATTCACTTCTAGAAGAAGAGCGTCCTTTTTGAGAAACATTTGGTAAAGATTTAGAATTATATTGGAAATATAATCCTTCACATTATCAAGACCCAACTTGGTAATTATGCGTTCTGCTTGCTCCTTTGTAATTCCCTTGTTGATGTCGATAGGTTCATACATGATTGCGTTAGGATTAGTAGCAGCAACTTCTTCAATATTTACTCCACCTTGGCTGGAAGCTATAATGACGGGACCCTGAAATAAAAAATATTTTATAAAATTCTTCTGTCTGTACGCAATGTCAATATTTGTTAATCACTTTTCTGCGAAACTTACACCAAAGGCTCTTTCCATCATGACAGCAAGATAGTATTCTTTACGGGGAAACATACGTTGCGTGACCATCACGGCGTTACATATCCTGCCGGCCTCGCCGGTCTGTTTAGTTATTAGTAATTTACCTAGCATGTGACTCGCTAATGACTTGGCTTCTTCTGGGCTGTACAAAAGCGACGATAATAAGTTCAACAACACTGAATGTATATATTGTGTAAAATTATTTGTATATATCATAATTACGTTTCACACATCTTCACTCCACTGACATTCGTTCCTTTGAAGTGTCCCTTCCCTCTGCCACCAGCAAGAACTTGAGCCTTCAAGACAATGTCTTTCGTCTTCAAGTTGGCAGCGAGTTTGGCTGCTTCATCGGCAGTTTTGGCAACGCCAAATTTCGGAGTAGGTACGCCGGCTTCATTGAGCAAACTGTAGCTGATGTGTTCGTGTACATTTAAATTCCTGACTGGTTGTTTCGTCAAGTTAGTCTTGCATGCCAATATCTGACAGAAAGAAGAAAGGATTTGTGATGTAATCATTCTTATGTTTGTTTGGATAACAAATATAATTCTGACTTCCATTAGTTTTTGTCATTATAAATGATAAAAGATGTATATATGTCAAAATTTACATTGATAAGGATAAAAAATTAGGAAAAAAGGATAAGGAAACAAAATTGAAAACATTGTTATTCATATAAATTATTCATTTATCAAGATATGTCATATTTTATATATATATATATATATATATATATATATATATATATAAAATATGAGTATTAAATATGAGATTAAAGTTTACATGAATTAGAATCTGTCACTTTAATGTGATTAATGTATGTATAGAGATTTAAATATAAATCTACACTTGAAGGCTACATAATCTATGAATTGATATTGCATACATTATGTATAGGACTTTGGCAATAATACTTCATATAAAATAAATTGTGTAATAGATTTTAACTGATAAATTAGTCTTTATCAATTTATTGCGGTAACTCTAAAATAGAATGTTGAGACAAATCTTTTTTAGATAATTAAAAAAACAAATATTTCCTTTACAAATTATTATTTTTATTTCATTCAAGATTAAATAAAATATTTTTATTAATAAAATTAATATAAAGAATAAAATATTATAAAATATATGAAAATATTACAAAATATATGAATATATGCAACACTTAAATTTTATATCATAATTATATGATTTTTTTTAATGAAAAAAGATTGAGATGTCAAAAAGAAATTAATACTATAAATCAATTCTCTACTGTCAATAATTCAGACATGTATATGTATATAGTCATTTTTTAAATTAAAAATTATATATCATTAAATATATAAGTTATAAATTTTGACAACTGTCAACCATGTGCGTATCAGCATTTAATAATATATATTGTTTTTACTTATAAATTTCAAAGCCGCTGACAAATGCCAATTCCGATAAAGAAAACAAGTATACGATCGTCAATATTTTTTCTCTCGCTATTTGAAAATTTAAATCTTTATTAAATGTACTCGTCCTAAAATAGAACGACGATCACATCATTGACAGTTCGAGTGCTCAATCTCATTTAACAAGTGTTCTCTTACGCGTAAGAATATGTACATAATTCGACTAAACGTAATCATAGAGAAGGGACATCGCGCTCAGTGAGGGAACAATCTCCGAGTATATTTTCCGCGCAATTGCATAATTGTCAGGTCGATTTTTCGGGAAAAAAAATCTCGCCTCAGAGATCCTTGGGCTTCAAATCATTCGTGACCCTGGCGCTCAATTTAGCAGACTACAGCCGTTTCCAGTATGGCGATTGCCTCTCTTTTTCTCTCTCTGTCTCTCATTATCTCTCCTTCCTATCGATTCGTCATTGTGACTGTCGGAACTTTGCGCGTTTCTTTGAATCTTGCGGTAGCACATAATTAAAATCGTACACGCGAAAACCGATCTGACGTACCTTAGGAGTGTTCAATCGGCAGAGACTCTCCGCGAGTGAAACCGTCCGCGACAACATGGTAGCCATCTTTGCCTAAGCGACAGCCGTGGACTGCCAACTACAAGCTTCGCCCTCGTGGCCCCCACCTCAAAAGCTTGACGTTTCCCTCGGGCAAATATGACGCAGAAGCCGATACAGGCCACGCAGACTCGCGGATGTAACTGATTCGATCCAATGACGAATCATGGCGAGCAGCGCCAAACAAGCAGTTTTCGCGTCGGTTGAATTTGCGGGAGAAAAATAGTTTGATGCATCTTTAAAAGATGTGTAATAGAGCTTTGAGGGTTTAAAAAATTCCTGGATCGAATTTTTTAAAAATTTAATTCACGTCACTTTTGTATTAATTATAATATTTTTGAGTTATCGCGCTGAGAGCGATTAAACTTAATTGCCATGAACATGTTTGATCAAAAATGAATTTTACATCTAATTAATAAAGTACATGCTGTTTGACGTTGTCTTGAAGTTGTTTGTTAAAGCACAAAATTCTTTGGCCTGATTAATTAATTAACGCTTACTCGAAGTATTTCATCGATTAATTTAATAATTCCTTATAATCCAAAACGAAATTTATGACATCATTAATTGTATCAGAGCGATCAAATTTCATTCAAAAACGCTGTTAGATTTTTTTGGTATTTTCTCGATGTTCAATTAAAATTTTTAAATTACTAGTATCGATAAAATCAATTTAATTACCGAATACTGATAATTATAGAATCATAATTATCAATCGCAATTTGATAATCGGAAATGTTAAAAATTTTAGTTTTTATCATCTTTTTATGAATTGTACTCTTCTGATTATATACTCTTGCCCCACTTTTCAAAATACTTTGAGAATTTTAAAAGAATTCGAGATTTTATTTTAATTTTTAAAAGTATATTACACGAAGAAATTTTTTAAATCACTCCTTTTTCGGATAGAGTTAAATACAATTATACATAGCTGGTCCAATTAGTCTTACACCCACATGTGCATAAAACAAAGGCCAGCACACAATATGGTATCTTTTATATACAAAAAGATATATTTCATAGATATATAAGTACAAAACATTTTGTAAACTGTTCCAAAGTTATTTCACTTCTTTCTTTTCTCGGCAATTTTCATTTTTTCTGATAATTTAGCAGTGAAATGAATATCTAAATTCAAAGACTTTGCCAAATTCATCATCAATGCTAATTTAACCGATGTCTCGGCTGCTTGTGCAAAATCATCCACGGAAATTACTTCTAACTTAGCATCTGATATCAATTTTTTAGCTTTATCGACATTAGTACCCTACAAAAAAACAAATTAGTAAAAAAGAAAAAATATATTATTTGTAGATAATATAATTTTTAAAAGTAATCACACCTGTAATCGCACAACTATAGGTATATGCAATTTTAACTGTTTAAAAGCATCGATGATTCCTTGGGCGATTATGTCGCATCTCATTATACCACCAAAGATATTTATTAAAATAGCTTCCACCTGGAAAATCCCAACCATTGATAGCGCAATCGATCGCGTCATTTAATTGTCGATTTAATTTCACATTATAATTACTTTCGGGTCTGAAGATAGTATTTTGAAACCTTCTGTCACGGTTTCGATTGTAGCGGTACCTCCGACATCCAAGAAATTTGCCGGGGTACCACCATAGAGCTTTATAATGTCCATGGTAGCCATAGCTAAACCGGCTCCGTTTACCATACAGCCGATATTTCCATCTAGAGCTATGTAATTTAAATTATGTTTTTCCGCTTCGACCTCTTTCGGATCCATCTGAGTCGTGTCTTTCAACGTAAACAATTCCTTCTGTCGGAAATCGGCGCTATCGTCGAATTTACATTTGCAATCTAAAGCGTAATCTGCAAACATTAAAGTAACGTATTATTCATCAATTGTCATTTAAAATTTATACACAATTGTGCTCTTATTCTTATATATTCTTTTTTTTTATTTACATTGACCACAAATATCCTCCGCAAACGGGTTGATCTCGACAAGCAGAGCGTCCTTCTCGACGAACAATTCATACAGATTACAGGCGATAATCGATGCGATTTCTTTGTTGTTTCCTGCGAGTCCGAGCTTCTCGCCGACACTGTCCGCTTGCGCGGACGTTAAGCCTTTACTTATGTCGATCGGTATGTATGTTACAGCTTCGGGATTGACGGCGGCGATCTCCTCGATGTTTACGCCACCTTGTTTGGAAACAATTAACACGGGCCCCTTGTAAAGAGTAAAACGGCGACTGATTAACTATCTCTGATGAAGAAATAATTTTTAGCTTGCACGTACTTACATCGAAAGCACTTTCCAGCATCACCGCCATGTAATGTTCCTTACGTGGAAACATGCGTGCTGTCACCATCACGGAATTACATATCTTTCCGGCCGCACCTGTTTGTTTAGTTATGAGCACTTTGCCGATCATATTGCTCGTCAATTCCTTTACTTGCTCTGGACTGTAAAAGAATGAAAGATTATTCGGCATCTTACCGTAGATTACAATTATTTCTCTTTTAACATTTTAGTGACATTTCCATTGTACTCACGTTTCGCACATTACAACGCCACTGAGATCTTTATCCTTAAAATGTCCCATTGCTCTACCTCCGGCTAAAATCTGTGCTTTTAGTACGAGATCTTTAGTGTTTAGATTCTTAGCCAGATTGGCGGCTTCGTCGGGTGTTTTCGCTACTCCAAAAGGCGGAACAGGAATGCCGGCTTCCTTCAATAAAGTGTACGCCATGTGTTCATGTATCTCTAAATTTCGCACTAGTTGTTTAAAGATCGGCACTTTACGCGCTAATAGCTACATGAAAAATAAGTATTTTATATAAATATTATCTACATATGCGCGACTTACACATATTGTATATTTCTAAATTAATTTTATAGAAAATTTAGAGAATTTATACATTTCTTTTTAAATGTTACATTATTTTCACCTGTTTATTTATTCCTCGAGCGCATATTTCCGTTAAAAACGATATCATAAACGACATGACGATAATTAGTGACAGTTCATTTATTTATTATATGACACCCGCGATGTGTGTATTTTCATTGCCGATACACATTCCTATAAAATTATTGTTAGATTTAATATTCGTTTTTACAACCTTGTTAGACAATTTTCTGCTTGTACATACATATACATATGCATATGTATGTAAAAAAATTTTAATTCACTTACGAGAGTAATTCGCTCGCGAGAATACTTCGTGTAGACTGAGTTGAATAGGGTCGAATAGGTGATGAATTCATATTACGCTTATTTCGTTTTTATTGCAACGGTGATAAATGAATCGCGATTCATCACACACATGGATGATATTTAAATCGACGTATTGCGCGTGTTAAAAATATCATCCACTGCTTATGTTATAAAAATATCTTCCACATTTTTCAAATTTCTCTACAATTGCGTCGTTATATCTCGAAGAAATGAGATTAAGAGCTCATGTAGCATTTATAAATCCATATTTTGGTTAAAAATACATATTCTCCGAAAAAGCAAAAAAGCCAATAATATTAATATCTTAACAACGTTATATAAGTTTTTAAAATATTTACCATGAAATATGTGGAAAATTTTTACAATCGCTGTATACCTAAAGCTTTTAAATTATATAAAACATAACACACACATATTTTACTACCTTGCTGTGATAATTATATAATTAGATTGAACATATAAATATAAGTATATATATGTATATACACATACATATACATATAAATTAACTCAATTTCTCTACATATTTACATTTTTTATCGTATTATGTTTTATATATTCTTATAAATTAAATAACAAAAATTATACACGTGTGTGCGCATGTATAGCTTTATATTTAATTCAATCAAACAGAACGCTATCAGTTTGAAAAGATGAAAACAACCCCAGTAGTCAAGATTTATATATTTTTTAAAGCAAGAAGAAAGTACATTCAAAAGATATTAGCAATCTATTTTATACACACATTCAAGTGTAATATACACTAAAGATTTACTTTCATCCTAAATATCGAATTTTCTCAACAAATTCTCACTTCACTCTGTGTATGTTATTATACGTATTTAAACATAACATACTTCTCCTTCCTATATTTTATGTAATAAAAAATACTGAAGATTTTACAAAGGTATTGCACACAGATAAAAATCGAGATTTCATTAATTATGATAGATGAAAATCCCTCTTCATACTATCCATATGTATTATTATCATACATCTCAGATGAAAGTGCTACCTTTCGTGATATTTCCTACAAATAGTTTGTACACATAACAGTGCAAATGCTAAAAAGCGATGCTTTAAATTTTTGCATTAAAATAAAGAAAAAAGCAGACTATGATGTGTTAATTAATGCATTGCGCGCATTGCATTGTTATTAATAATGTTTATATAGAAAAAGAAACATTTTTATCTATGTTATTAAAAAACAAAAGTTACTCTCTCTTTGTTTTTGATATTACCAGTAAATTATCATTAATAGATTATCAATAAATCTTTCAATATAAAGTTTTCGATATACTAGTTAAAAGCTAAACCGATCATTAAGAGTTCGCCCTGTAACGCCAAGATTTCCCGATAAGCTGTACATAACTTCGCTGAATCTGCGATCATCGACGTCTCCACTGGAATCGGATGTGGTTGTGTTGTGCGTGCCTGAACGTGATCGTGACCTTGATCTCGAGCGTTGTCGGCCAAATAATGGTGCTCGACCAACCTGGGGAATTATGATAAATATATCTGTCGTAGATATTATTCGTATTTGAATTTAAAAAAATGAATATTTAAGATGAAAAAAAAAGACATATTTTCTCTCTAAAAGTGAATCAGTGTATTATCACTGTAATTAGTGCTGTACTTATAACTGCTTGTAATCATTGAGTATTTACTGTTTTTCAGTGTATTATCACTGAAAAACAGTAAATACTCACCGATTACAAGCAGTTATAAGTACAGCACTGATTAGTATATATACTACTTTCACTAGAGTGAATCAGTGTATTATCACTGAAAAACAGTAAATACTCATTGATTACAAGCAGTTATAAGTACAGCACTGATTACAATGATAATACACTGATTCACTTTTAGAGAGTTAAGAGAAAAAAACTTTAAAACAAAATTTATTACCATATTAACACCCTGTGCGCTTTGTCTGTATGGCGAACGTCCTCTGGGCAGTTGTCGCATGCTACCAATGGTCGCAGTGTGTCGACTCTGAGCGAGTGATCGTTGACGTGTGGCGGTAGGTGTGTACTCGCTTCCCAATGTACACATGAAGTTGACATTTGGAGTGGGAGTTAATCGGGCAGAGCTACAATATTAATGTATTTAAGATATCGCAAAAAGATAATTAATTTTTTCTACATTATCGAGAAATAAATTTAGATTAGAAAAATTTAAATCGATATTTTTCTCTATAATTTGTGATTGCACATATATGGAAGAATAACCAAGCTGTGAAATTCATTTGACGAATTATAATTTACTTCATTCTCATCAATTTTTGTTCATATTGCGCCCGTCTCTGCGCACGAGCGATTTGATCGGATCGCAGTCCACCGGTTGTGAAGCGACGTTGCGACGTTAATATCTGTTGCCTTCCCAAAGTTCTTGGTTGCATAGAGAGTAGAGTCTTTTGTCCGGTCTGTGCCAGCTGTAATAATACATACATATATTTTATTAGTATCTTGTATATATCACATGTATAGCATATATATATATATATATATATATATATATATATATATATCTTTTTTCAACTCACTCTGAATTGATTCTGCAAGTTCAGCCTTTGATTCTGTCTCTGTAACAGCAGCTGCTTCGCGCGTTTCACACGATTCCGATAGGCAATCTGAGCGGGACTTTGATATCCCAAGCGATTATGGACAGAATTCGGATCTCGTAGATTGGGCAAACTGCTCGTTCTTTTTAACGGACTCTTGTTACTCGTAAAGAAGCCGCCCTGATTGAACGTTAGATTAGTGCGACTTCTGCTACGAGTCAAACCGGAGAATCTATTGCCTCTGCCACGGCGCACATTGAACGCACCTCTCGCGTTCGTTTTCTGGTTCAAACTCAAATTGCTGCGCGATCTCGTGAGATTGCCGAGATTCTTCTTAAAGCGATTCTTGGCGAAACCGCGAATGTTATTCGTATTATTCGCATTGCGTTGCCAAGTCTGTTGCTGCTGCTGTTTCTTCATGATGACTCCGACATTGCCCCGTTTGATTCTTGCGCCTCTCCCTCTAAATCCGGCTCGGCTTCTTATAGCACCACGATTGCGTTTGGGACCGCCGCTTTTTCCATTCGCCGCCGCATTCTTTTTCTTTTTCTCCTTTTTCTCCATCTTTATGATTTCATCTTAAAAGGAAGAAAATGCGCAATATTTAATTATGCGTACGGCAAACGTACGGCGAGATGGTGGATCTCTAATGTTTATGAAACTGTAATTCGAAACGTTTAATAATAGAATTCTCGATGCATTTTAATTCCAACAGAGGAGCGCGATTTCTCAAATAAATATTTTTTGTTTCAAATTATCATTTCAGCACGTATCCAACGTTGACGAGAAGAAATATCATATTGTGTTCACAATTCCAAAGTCTTTGTCTACAAAGATATTCTTGCGTAGGCGTTACATAGAATCTTTGTGATTATATCTGTTTTAATTTATTATAAAAAAATTAAATATAAAAGATTCTAATTGTTAAGTTAATATATGATTATTTTTCTGAAAAAAATTTTATCTGTATAATATAAAACTACAATATAAAAATAATCAAGTAATAAAAAAAGTACTAATTTAGAAAGAAACACTCGCGGAAATGAAAGAATACAAGAATCGCTTTTACTTGACCAAAATTCTATTAAAATTATAATTTAATAAAAAGTAAAATATTTAAAAAACGGCACAAAATTTAAAACGAAAGAAATTATTCATTCTTATAATCTCATTTAAGAAAAGTAATGTTTTTTCGGAGCACGATTAAACTATTAAAAAGATATTCATGTGTAACATAAATTTTCCTCGCGTCGTTGCAGTATTCATAAATTTTTATCTCCATTTATCATTCGCTGCTTTATGGATTATTCCGGAATGATGTGCAATCAGGGAAATGTTGCTGTTCATAATTCTTCACTTAATTATTGCTCCTCATGCAGAAATTATTAATTATATTTCTTGCGAGTTATGTTTCTTTCTCTCCCCCTCTCTTTGCGTGACTGTCTTCCTTTCATTCTTTATATAAATTTCTATGAGTTCTAAATAGTAGCTATGTAGTAGCTAATTGTAATTCTTCTTGTAAGTCCTCCGATTCGATTGTTACCTCTTCTATACACAATACTTCTAAAATATTTTTCCTGGACCTTGGAAGATTTTCAAGAAGCCCACATAAATAAATAATGCCCCGTTAAATTCTGATATAGACAACTAATTCATAAATATACAAGTTTCTTCCCAGGGAGTGTTTGCAAGTATTAGAGTGCGCATTTTCTCTCTCATCATAAAACAATATTAAAATCGACTTGCGTACAGAGTACCTGCATTTTCAGATTGCCAGTAAATATTATATATTATATATAGTGAAGTAACTTTGTCGTCCCATAGATTAAAAAAGCGAAATTAAAACTTGATCCAGATTTGATTTATCCCACTGCAGTTTCTCCTTCACACGTATTCGTCGTAAAATGAAACCGAAATAAATCTAATCTTCGCGCGCGCAACGTGCTCCCGTTACATGTTAGCCTCTTGCCGATGGTCGACAGACAAAATCGTATCGTGCATCGTGAGAAAATGTCACACTTCCCACATTTGTCGCTTATCGATAAGAGATTCGTCAACGATGCAACGGATAAAAATATTATATTACGTAATATCTCGCTCTTGTTCCGCGCATGACGAGAATGTAAAATCTTCGTCAAGGATGAGTCATACACGATTGCATGGCGTGCTTTTAACTCCCTTTCGTGAGTCCGGTCTTTTGTCTTTTGTTAAAAAGGAAGCGCACCGAAGTCATAATATTCGAGGTATCATATTGTTAAGGAACCATTCTCTGATCCATCGATAATTTTTAATTAATTGAAATCGGAATAATGTAGAATTAGCGATACGTATTACAATGAATTGTAATCGTAACGGTAGATATATCGTCCATGGTTTGGGTTTTGGGTATGGTAAACATATTGTTTGTCAGTAACAACATAAATTAAGATGATCCCTTCACTGCAATTTCCGGATTCTATCTCTATAATCCTTAGATGATGCTGGAATTATCGAAGTTCACTGTTGGAAGTCGAAGCAAAACCATAATTTTCGAAATGGTTATAGAATTATATTCCAAAATGACGACATGTAATATTAATCAGCACATTTCCTATCATAGAAAATCGTAATATAATTATAATAGTGCATTTTGAAATGATTATAACAGGTTCATTTTGTGTCCATTTTTATACGATCAAAGTCCAGTTGATTAACAAGTCTAGCATATGCAGAGCAATATAAAATCTCGCCATATGTTAATCCATACGCAGAAAAATTCTGATAGTCCTGATTCTCCATTCTGTTTTTATCAAATTTCCTGTCGATACATCTTATCGTAAATATTCCTTTCTTCCTGAGAAAAAAGAGATAGAAGAGACTATATAGACTTAAGATAAATGTAAATCAATGCTTTTACAAACTCTTTGTCTATATCCCTGATAAAAAAAAAATCACTTCTTGATACTTCTGTCACATTTCTCGTACATCAACGTCTTTGTACTTTGTAGATGTCCTCTTTCTAAAGTCAGCAAAATCCCTAACAGCAATTGCGAAATGTGACGAAAGCGAAATGATTCTTCTCATGAAAACCTTCTGGCATAGATAGTCGAATCGTTCCTTAGTATTTCGTCAACTTATTCGCAGCATTCTTCTCTTCCTGAAGGTCAAATAAATTACAAGTAATCTTACAAATTGTTTAATACGAGCGATAAATTCCCGTACCGCTTCCTTTAGTATGTTGCTCGAATTTCCCAGCCTCCCTTCCTTTCTGATTGCAACAAATTCACGACCTGACTTTGAAAGAGATCGCGATCGTTGAGTTAACGGCAAAATAAGATTACGGTTACGCAAAGCGACAGTGTGAGAAGGAAATTGCGGCAAACTCCATTTTCCTATATCGTTTCTTCTTCAAGAATATTAAGGATTATTTTTCATTTAATGCACTAATGCGCCTTTGCAGAGGTCATCGTCGTTTTCGTTATATACCTTCTCGCTTCCATTATTTTCGTCGGGAAGAGACGGGATACGATGTGAGAAACCAGATATATATAAAGGAAACAAATGCAGATACTCTATGTGCACATGTACGCTGACGCCATTTTGTCGTTCATCATTCGTATGGGTCTTGGGGGAGGACAATGTGCTTGCAAACTGTACGCTGCTATACGTTCATCCAGGATTACTGGCAAAATCGTTAAATTGTTGGGACTCTGGCCACTTACCGAGCGACATATTCACTTTTGCGTCAATCTCTGACATTTTTGCAGTCTTGCGTTCTCGCTCTTGCTCTTTCCCTCTCTCTCTCTCTCTCTTTCTCTTCCTCTCTTTCTCTACGTCTTATTCTAGATATATATATATATATATATGCGAAGATTTCTCGCACGTATTTACACGTTCCGCGATGACGTGCTTCTGATCCGCGCACTTTTTGTTCAACTTTTTGTTCGATTGTCCACTCGCGATCCGTAAATCAACTATAACGCAAACAACACAGACTTCGCGCGAGCCCACGATACTCCGAACGAGAAATGCGGCCGGAAATCAACTGAAATGCGCCGAAACCCGAAACGACCTATGAAATAGCATGAAAAGATACAAGAAAGGCAACGCGATGGGATGCGCATAGTGGGATGCGCGGTGGACGACCAATCGCAAAGAGCAATATGGCTACGTTCAAAAGCGCGGGTTTTTCTTTTTCGAAATTGTTCAATCTTACTGATCTAATTGTCATCAATTGAAAACATTTTTGCAACTTCGCAAATCTCCCCTTAATCTCGTTAATCGACATTTTTAATATTCAGGTTTATTACGTTTTATTAATTGAAGCAAAAATGAAATATCTGTCTTTAAATTAATATTTTTTATCGATAGATGCATTTAAGAAGAGCCATCTTTGGATTGTTCAGAATAGCTGACGCAAGCATCGACTATCTTCGCTTCTTTATCTTACATAAATTATTAAGAAATTTATATATTTTTAAAAAATATCCAACAAATATTATAAAAGCAATAAGATGTGCGAAAATAGTTTGGAGGGTAGAAATGTTTCGTGTGAAAAGTTACAAGATATTTCTATGAAAAACTCTCCGCGAATATCGTCGACTGCTTCGGCTCCAAATGTATTATTTTATGTCTCTCGTAGATTTCCTTAATTAAACTTTCAATTCGAATAATTCTATATCCTTTGCAAAGATCTGCACATCTGAATCGTACGGATGCAAATCCGTCTCTGTTGATCACGAGCAAAAACGACAAATTATCGATAGCGATTGGGGAGGTTATGCTCTGGATTCAGACTTGTGGGAAGACAACAAATCGCCCGTGATACAGATAAGACCAAACGAGATATCCTTCGATAATAGAGAATGCTGCGGTGTCTTGTCCGACAGATTAATAGGCACCGGTTTATCCTTTTTAACAAAATCACCCGAAAATGGTCTTTACATTCTCGGTAAATGTGTCCTGAAGAACAGGGTATTAAAAAATTCATATTTCTCCTTATCTCTCTTCCTCTTTACAATTAAATAATATAAACTAGTAATAAATTTCCAAAGAAATGCTACTGTTTATGCTACTTCTCTCTTTTCAGAATCTGACAGACGTCACTATGTTACAGTATCATCGATACTTACAATACATTAATATCGCGTATAACAATATATCATGTTTATCATTCCTGGACAGTCTCCCATATCTGATGTATATAAACGCATCGCACAATAAGATTAAACGTTTGTCAAATTTCGCACCTCCTTGGTATCTTACTTATGTAAATTTATCATATAATCGCATGACGGATATAGGTGGCTTAAAAAATTGTTGGAGCATTGTCAAGTTAAATTTATCTCACAATGTTATAGAAAACATTTCTGGTTTAGAAAATTTAAGGTATATATGTGTATGTGTGTATATATATATATATATATATATATATATATATATATATATATATATGGTATAATTATAATTGACATACATATAAGGTGTGCGTTTCCACAGATTGTACATTGTATTACTTGATCTATTTTAGATACTTGCAATATTTAAACTTGTCTTACAACCTTATCGAATGCATTAAAAATTTGGACGGTTTGAATATCCGGGAATTGAATTTAGAAGGCAATTGTATAACGTCCTTTAAATCCGCTATATCCGGTCGTGGTATAAACACGTTGCCTCACCTACAAATAATAATTCTAGGATACAATAGATTATCGACTTTGAAATTTTTTAAAGTAATCACGAAACTTGAAAATTCGAATTTTCACAAATTTCGTTTCAACAAATAATTATGCAATTACATGTCACAATTAGGATGCGTACAATTTACGTTACATAGATTTAAAATTTAATAAAATTTCCGATCTGTTGGAAGTACTGAATCTGAAGGGCATGATAGATGAGGTAGATTTGACAGGTAACACCTGCACGAAATGGCCTAATTATCGAAACATGCTAATATCTTCCATACCCAGTATTAGATTTATCGATGGTGTTGAAGTATTTATAACGGAAAAGGTGAAGTCGAGCGATTTCAATTAAAAAATATACAGCCAAGTATACATTATGTACAACCATGTCGAATATACACAGATATTTCTCAGGTAACGTCAGCTACACTATTTGCATCGCCGATAGATTTGATAGCCGCCCGTAAAGTAGCAAAATTAATATTACTGGAGCAGTTAAATATCAGCAAAACAGACGATCATGTGCAACCTTATGACGAAATCAGTCCTCCTCTGATAATATTAACAGGACCATCGGCGCTGAAGAAAATGGAATTGGCTCTATATCTGGCTCAAACAATTCCTGATAAAGTAATAAATAAATAAATAAATAAATATACATATATATATACACAGTATCCGGAAAATCGCCCGCAGTATTTCGGGACTCAAAAACAAGGAAGAAAAACTATATAAACATAGGTCTGGAAATAAGTTCACTTGGTATCCTTCTTTTTTCAAATTTAAAAATTTTAAATTTAAAAAAAAATTTGAAGATGGATGCCAAATATATATATATATATATATATATATATATATATATATATATATATATACATACATATATTTTTCTAAATATTTTTAAGACAAAAAGATGCGATCTCCCTCTTGCAGATAAAATACTGTCGTTGGCATACTACAAAAGAAATATGCGAATATGATGACGAACGTAACGCTTATATTCTTGTAAACCGGGAAGAATTTAACGATTTAGCGCGACGTGGCGAATTTTTAGTTATTTTAGATTTGTTGGGTGAAAGTTATGGATTCCGTTAGTAACGTGATATTGCTTAGATTGACCCGCATAAAATTATTAAACAAACATTTATAGAAATACATATGCATTTATAGAATATATTTTTTTCACAGATACGAATCAAATCAGTCTGTTAATATCTGAAAATAAAATTGGGCTTACTCAAATGAATCTATATGCGGTTACGGAAATCTCTAAACGCTATTCAAACGTCCAGCCGATCTTGGTACTCACACAGAGTGTGGATCTTCACAGAGAATGGATACAAGAAAAGTTTGATGTTCACACATGGATCAAGGACAGCGTGGAAAATTTGTTAGTTGTAAAAATTGGTAAATATTGGGAAGATAAGGAAGCAGAAACTGCAAGTTGTATATTAAATTTCGTCAAAGAAATTTTGAACGAGGTTTGTCTCATCCAATACAATTTTCTATGAGAGGCAAAAAATTATATAAAAATTGTAAATGTATGCATATATATTATTTAGATAATGTGCCGTTTAGAATTTCCAAGTCACAGCATCAGCGTAAGACCGCAAAATGGGGCGACAACGACCGATATAATATTGCAAAGTAAAACGATGTTACCAAAAATCATAATACAAAGGAGCGAACTAGAGGTACAAGAAACAAAACGTGCACTTACAAAAACGGAAAGTGAAAACGATCATCTATTGTCTGAAGAAAAGCATGATGCAAAAGGATTAAAAGTATGAAGTAGAATTTTAAACAGAATTTTGAACGCTTTGTCATTGATATCGAATTAAATAGGTATTACTAGATGAGAAATCAAACATTATCATTGATGATGAAAAGACGAAACGTAAAATGCATAGATCAAGAATGTTACGTCGTCGAAATACATTGATAAAGAATACACTCAATGATAATGATCTTAGCGAATCGATGTCTTCCGAAGAAGAAATGGAGATAGTACGTATTTGAAATATTTTTTCGAAAATTTCTTTTGTTATTTTTCGATATAAGATATAGAGCATAATTTTTTCATACGTGAAATATTCAAAATTTGAATAAAGATTTCCTATAAATATATGAAATAATAAAAATAGAATTGTCCAAGAAAGTATTATAGTGTAAATAACAGAATATAACTTTCATATATAGTACCAAGAAAAGACAATATATGAAAGAGCAAGAATATTAAAAAATATATATGTTGAACTTGTTCTAAAAACTAGAAAATTGTACTTGGATTATCATGAAAGTCATCCTGGTTATTTTACTTCAATAGTGAGTACAATACATTGTTCTCACATATCAGTCTTATTGTATTTAATGTAATTGTACTTTAAATTTTATGGTATTATTTTTGTTGCAGTTACTCATGGATAATTATGCACAAGCCTTTAACTCCTTAAATGATCTCATTCATGAATTATACAAGAGTCAACCTTATAAGAAACCAATCTTTTTGTCAGAAATTGAGCATTTTAGACAGATAGCGATTCCCATCGAACTTGGAAATATCATTAATGAAATTAGAGGGTCAGTATATAATACAATCTTTGTAAAAAGTCTTAATTTAACCTCATTTTCTACAAAGAAATTTATCTGTTGCAGCAATATGTCAACATCAAAACTACAACACCAATCAATATTTAAAATGCAATAAAATATGTAACCAAAGAGCCCAACAAAAGCCATATATAAGTGCATATTAAATAAAATGTATTATATAAAATTTGTATTCGTTTATCTACTTGTAAACATGTATTTTTATATACTGGTCATATATATATGTGTGTATAAAAATTATACAGTAAACTGTACATTAGATCTATATCAGCTGTGACATCAACGGAGGAAGAGATTGTGATGATAATTTATATACAATATATTTATATAGGTGTGTATGGATGTGTATGTGTGACTGTGTACACACTCCTGGATAAAATTAACGCATAATTTTTTTTCACTTTTTCTTTAAAAGCTGATATTTAAATTTTAAGGAAAAATTTTAAAGAAAAAATGAAAAATATATACCTGATATAAAACATCTTATTCCATCTGTAAGATTTCATCTATATCCGAATCCAAATCAGAGTACTTTAATTCACTTTTATGTTGGACAATAGTAAGGTCTTTATCTTTCAGAGTTCGTGGGGCAGGTTGTGGAACTATACTACCTTTCGCTTTTGGACTCGTAATAATATTTCGCACTGGATTGTCTGAGATCGAGCTCGTAAGACTGATCGATTTCAATAAATCATTTTCTGCATTATAGTTTGCTAGATCCTGTAAGTTTGTGTTGGATCGAAAAATCGTTTCAACTGATCCTGCAGGTGGTTTTCTTGCGATGCTCAACTAAAAAATATTTTATATAACAATATTGTTTTAGACAGTATATTAATTTTACATAGAATGGTATGATATATATGTGTTCTCACTTGTTCCTGTATCTTCTTTGATATTTCCGCGATTTTATCACTTTGCGAAGTTTTCAAGATGATATTGCTCGTGCTCATAGATTTCTCTTTCTGTAATCCATATTCTATCCTCTCAGGAGAACTGAATAGAAAAACAATATAAATTAGTTATATGTATTTGAAAATATTTTTAGATATATTCTTAGATAACATAGAATAAAATTAAAAGCGAAGATAATAATAAAATAATAATACCTCGAAATATTCCAATCATTATTATTCATTTGGTCCTTTCTTTGATCGGTTTCCAACATCGTATTCTCTTTTCTGTCATCTAAATCGAATAAAACTTTTTTCTTTACCAAACTACCAACTGAACCACTCATCGGTTTTAGGACACTTTTACTATTTTTCGGAGATACAATTGAATCGTCTTGTTGTATGATTGTATTATCCGCATCGTTATTTTCCGAAAATTTCGACACTACTTGTTTTCTGATCGGAGAATTTATTTTGCGCATATTAATATCAGATACAATTATCTTTGTAGATGGAATCTGTTTTATATCTTCCTGAGATTCAATAGAACTCGCGGAGGAAATATTTCGAATCAATTTTGGATATGTTGAAGCCACTTTTGGACTGATGTAAATATCTGCTTCATTTCTCTTTGATTCGCGCGTATTCTCATAAGTCTCGTCATCTTTATATCTTTTAGGAAGAAGGTCAATCTTCTGTCTTAGATGCAATTTCGAAGGCGTTGTGTTTTCTGTTCTCTGAATAGATGTATATTTATCTAAAAAAAAAAGTATATTAACTTTCTGTATGCCAGAATTTTATACAGCAAATATATAATAAAATTACCGTTGTCTTTGTGACTACTAAATGCTTTCCAAGCCTTTAATTTCACTTGAGTACCTGATTTATTTGATGGAGAATTTTTCGCAAGCGTAGAATATTTTGATTCATTACAATTTATTGATATTCTTTGAAGAACATTTTCAAGTATTTTTTGTTTTATTTGATTGTATCGATCTAGTTTTTTTGCATTAATATTTTGCTGGTGTTTTATAATTTCCATTTTCTGCTTAAATGTTGCTGCAGGTATTCCCTGCCACTCTGGATCAATTCCTAAATCTCTCAATCGGTTATCTAACATACTTTGTGCATTTTCTTGTATTGACATCTTTCTGATACTGGGAGACTTAACTATAGGTATTTCATATTTTTTTACTGTGACGTCATCGTCTTCTGTAACACTCACACTATCAGATCTTGATTCTGACATCAATGATGAAGATTCAGACTCTGTAATAGAACTTACACTATGCTTTTCCAAAAACTCAGATTTTTTATCATTTGTCATATCATTAGAATGTAATATTCTTTCTTTTTCAACATTTGTAATATCTAGGTACTTTCTATTTACATTAACACAAATGTTTTGTTTGGTATTGAAGCTCTTACTTGTACAATCAGTTATTTTATTTACATCATTCAATGTATCGTGTTTTACTTTATGTTTTAACTTTTTAACTTCTGTTTTTTCTGTATTTTTCAGATTGGATTTTATAACATGTTCCACAATCTTGCTAGAATCAAGTTTTTTGTTATCTTTATTTCTTATAGAATCATTTTTATTAGGCTCATATTGTACTGCGATTGATATTGGCTTATCTCTATATTCTTGACTAGATTCACTACCGACATCTTCAATGATTATCTCGGCATGTTCAATACTATTTAAATTCTTGCCATCAATTTCAGTATCATTACAATTGTTAGCGCGTCTTATTTTTAACAAAGGAGATTTATGGAATTCTTCTACTATATCCTTTTTCCTAGTCTTATAACTATTGCTCTGTGTTTGTGAATTATTAATCTCAAGTGACAAATTATTTAATTGCTTTCTTTGTTCCACCAACATATTGGATTGATTCATAGACTGCTTTTCCAAATCATGTACTTTAGATGCATACTCAGATTTTATACGATCAGCTGTTTGCTGAGTTACTTTTAGTTCTGTGGTCAATCTTTCGATATCCTGATGATGTTGAGCTTCCATATCCTCTATCTTGGCTTTCCAATAATTTTCTTGAGTTTGCAGTTTAATTTGCATATTTTCCATACCTGGAGTCAACTAAAACAATGATAAAATTTTGAAAAAGACATAATTTTAATATATGATATTAATAGAAGATTTTTAATGTATGATATTATTAAGAGGATTTCTCTTTCTTACTCTTTCAAGAAGTTGATTTCTTAAACCATCAATTTCTTTCTCTTGTTGACTGATCAAAGTTCTTATATTCGTTTCCAAGATGCTCTCATTTACGACATGATCTTTTTCTCTTAGTGCCTATTTTATATGAAAGAAAGATACTTATTTTATAAAAAATATTTTATAAAAAGATGAAATTATTAACTTACATGTATCTCATCAAACAGCATGCTTTTTAAACTTTTTATATCTTCTTGATATTTTCTTTGCTCTTGAAACCTATCTAATTTGTTGATATATTCATTTTTACTTGTATTTTTTGCATAATCCTCTGTGTTATCCAGCAATTTATCAGACTCATTTCTTATTACTCTTTCAGTTTGATTGAGTCTTTCTTTCAATGTTTTTATCTCATTGTGTAATTTTTCCGTTTCTACTCGATAATGTTCATGCACAGGCGATATTGTTACACTCATGTCCGATACATACGAATGTTTACGCGCTATATGAGCGTTTACAAATATAGCACGTACAAATGTTTTTGGGCAATGTGGGCACTATAAAATAAACAATTCTGTCTTAAGAATAATATAATCAGCTAAAATATTAATAAAATTTATCTTATTCATATATTTTCATTTATATTTCATTCATATTTATTCTTATGTACACAGATAAATAACAATTTATATAAAAAGCACTTTATACCTTGAAAATTTCTCCATTGGAAATTTCACCAATGTTGGCTTCAATTAATTTACGTTTTTCCTTTGATTTATCTTTTAAATTTTTTATAGTATCTTCCAAAGTAGCAATTTCTTTTTTCATACTAACATTTTGTTCTATTTTCTGTCTTAATTCATCTTTCAGTATTATTACGCTATGATCCAAATACTGTTTACAATATAATAAATACTCGACCGATAGTTGTGCAAGTCTGAATAGTTTAACAAAATTAGAATCTAAAATCTTGACATCATACTCGCTTTCCAGAGAATAATCTATTACGTTATTAATGTTTTCTTCAATACTTGAGAAATCTCTCTCGCGTATGAGTCTATCTATGTCTATAGTGTCTGTAAAAAAAAAAGACAAATAAATTAGTAACTTGTAATAATAAAGGCAATGAGTTGAATAATAATATTTATACTTATGCGATTCCAATCAACTCGTACTCTGGATCCATGCATATTAAAATAAAATCCTGACTCTCTGGCCAGTTTCGGAAAATCGTGACACCAATTAGTGCCGGCTCTAAATGAGAATGCCATTATATTTTGATAGATCTATTTACATAGTAAGAGACAAAAGGTCTTATTTCACCACGTTCACGTATATATATGTATTTATATATTCATGATTATATGTTTGTCGGAAATTTTCACTGGTAAGCATGATTATTTATATAATATTGTTGTGCACAATTTCATTTACAATTACAATTTAACATGACACACTGCAAGTGTCAAAGATAAAGCGATATAAATGTAAACAAAACTTAAGGTGCAATTTCATTGACGCTAAAAAGTAGCGTCAACCATTGGTTGAACAAAGAAGTAAGTAGTTGCTTAACCAATGGTTGACGCTACTTTTTAGCGTCAATGAAATTGCACCTTTAGCGTCTGTACATAGTATGTACCGTATTTTGTACTTAGGACCTATCCAGACAAACTTGCATAGGTGCGGGAGCGTTTGACCACGTTGCGATTGACCACAGCCAATTATATCGACTTGTGCCTAGGGTAACCAGCAACGATTAACCAATCAGAGAATCCTATTTTGAATTGGCCAATTGGCGACGTGGTCAATCGGGTGCCACCCCATAGGTGCATATGCATAACATAAGACCATATGGACCAATGAGCATCGAGTATTAAATCGCCATATTGACTTACATAACATAATGCTCATTGGTCCATATGGTCTTATGTTATGCATATGAACCTATGCAAGTTTGTCTGGATAGGCCCTTAGCGTCTGCTGCAAATGCCATCTATAACGATTTTAAGCGTTTTACGCCATTTTGTGCGGTTAAATTTAACGAAATAATAAATCAATTTATTAATATGCGAAGAAAAAATTATAAATATAAAAAATTATAATACATTCCAAATAAACAATAGATTTAATAAACAATAAATTATTTTACTTTAACAAATACATGTATGTATACAAATATGTGTTTTTTTTTTAAATACATATATAAGTAATATATGTGTGTGTGTGTGTGTGTTCTTTTTTAAATTAATATGTGTGCATATATTTATATAAATATAGATATTTTAAATAAATTGAAAGGAATTAGGCTCTATATGTATTTAAATAACACGACAAGAAACTAGCGAATAAGAGGATAGTACCACCGCGGATAGTAATGCGAAAATTTTAATTGTTCGCGATAATTTAAACGAGCACGAGACATATGCATATGTTTCACTTGGTGCATTTATCAAGATATAGATTCTCAAAAATGAGAATTAAAATTTACGCATTACCATCCGCGGTGGCTTTTATTTGCTAGTTTCTTGTCGTGTGTAAATAGATATTTTATATATTACTTTGTCCATGTATTGTATAAAGAATTAGTCTTTAGATTTACTTTATTATATTAATTTTTTAGATTTACTTTATTATATTAATTTTATCAAGAAAATTTATTCGTCTCAGAGTTCCTCTTATCTTTCTCTTGTTTTTTTTTTCTAATATTAAAATATCACTTCTACGAAAGAAATATTCTAGGCCCGTTATAAATGAATGCTTATGTAATATGTCTGGAACAATTCAGACATCATTCTAATTTATCATTTAGCCTCTATTACCCCTTCTGCTTCGCGATTTTTTTATCGTCTCTTAATTCCACGCCGGCATTGCACAATTTGCTAAATCATTCTTACACAATATTGGACCATCCCATTCGAGCGATAGTACAATATATGTGTATGTGCGGTGTATATATATATTAAGTTAGTGTATGTATTAAGACATATAAAATCACAGCACGTGCTATTCACGAAGCAGTTGCACGACTTGCAGCTTGCAGGCGGTTACAAGCACAATATTAGGCAGCGTGATGTAACAGTATGATATAATTAATCGTGACCAAAATATACCCATTCGCACTTGTCTCATCATTGAAATATGGACGCCGCAAAAAAATTTGATAATCCAAACCCACGCATGTCCGCAAATGCAATCAGTAAATTGTTTTTCTGGTAAGTCGAAAATGAAACAGTAATATTTGCGTGCCACAATTAAATTAATTAAATCAACTACGTGATGTGTCTAATGTCTGATGCACAAATATATATATTACGTTCGTATAGAGAAAATTATATTTGATGATGTTTTACAATTATGATAAAACATGACACAAAAAGAGCAATAATCAATTGTGCAATTGTTAGAAGTGATACGTTGACACCATAGTAATGTAAATGTTTAAAGCTTGTATATTTAAATCACTTTGAGTTACGGCGCTCTTCGATCGAAAGTTATCAGCTGAACGTAGAAAATATATATATATATATATATATATATATATATATATATATATATATACATATATATATACACATATATAAGGTCTGTTCTTTTCAGCTGCACTGCTGCACTAGTGCAATTAGTTAGAGTGAAAGAAAGTATGTTTGTCTCTTTCTAACTTATTGCACTAGTGCAACAGTACTGCTCAAAAGAACAGACCCATACATACATATCTCCCCTTGCGGTATTTGCAAACGATATGCAATGTATGTACATACATACGTGTATATATATTGTACATACCACTCATCATTCGCAAGCGAGAAGCTACTTTTCCTAGATATACACATTCATGTTGCAGCTCTAAGAGATTAAATTATTATGAGAGATTCATAAATAAGGTCATATTAGATAGCAAGTTGAGAATAGCTCTTTAAAAAATGTTTATTAAGATTTTATCTGTTTTATTTTATAGAGATATCTGTATTCAGGTAATAAAATATCAAGATAAAAATATATAGAGCAAAAAATTTTATAAAATAAAGTCTATGAGACATAAGAAAAATAACAAAAAAAAAAAAAAACAGATTCTGTCATCAAAATTCTCTATTTTTTATTTTTACAAACTTAACATATGTCAATTTAATTCAAATGCAATTGATACCACTGCTGTAACTTCTTTGTGTTTTTTTTGTTGGCAAATTACTTTTGAGATATTTTACATAATTAAAGTAGTAATTGTATTAAGTAACAGGACGCTTATCTTGATTTATTTGTATACTAATGTATTATCTTTCTACTCTTGACTTTGAGTTTGTGCTTTTTACACTGATATATAATTCCACTGATAGTGTAACTAAAATTAGCATAATTAATGATAATATTGTAGTGCTATTGTATTCGCAAAATGCTTATACATGCGTATATAGTTTTTTCATTCGTATATGGATATCACCTACACGATACACTGTAATATTGTAATTATATATTGGTGAAATTCTAATGTATATGCTTTATCACCATTACATGTTTTTATTTTATTAATCAAATGCATTCTCTTGTTTTCAACTTATCTTGTGATTTGTTATATTTAAGGTGGATAGTAGGATTATTTTGGTATGGAAAGGATCATGACTTGGAGATGAAAAATGTATACAACACATTGCCTGCTGATATGAGTGAGCTTTTGGGAAACAAACTAGAACAGTAAGGAATTATTTTATTAAAATAAATTTATATATATTATGATTGTGCACACACATACACATTCATCTATGTGTGATAAATTTAATAAATTGCTAAAATTAATATTTCTTATTTAATATTTCTTATCATTGCCATTTTTTCTTATATAAATGAATGCTTATAGATATTGGAAAAAGGAAATACATACAGCTGAGAAAAATGGCAGAAAACCTAAACTTTTGACTGCTATAAGGCAAACATTTATGTGGTCTTTTCTTTATTATGGAGGATGGATTTTATTTATGACCTCTGTTTTAAGGTATTATAATAATTATAATGTCTTATTAATATATCTGTTATAAGTATTATAATAATTAAAATGTCTAACTGTGTATTATACTATATATATTTACTATTGAAAATATTTATTCATAGAGTTATGCAACCATATTTGTTGGGTCTGCTCATTTGGCATTTTGATCCACGAGCAACATCTACTCAGAAAGAGGCATATCTCTATGCATTTGGTGTAATAATCATAGGAATAATAGTAATGTTAATCAATCATCATTCATATATAGGTTTATTAGAGATTGGAATGCGAGTGAGAATAGCAAGTTCCTCTCTTCTATACAGAAAGGTAATCTAATTAACAAATTAAAATTAAGATTTTTTTTCATTGTGTTTTTGTGTTATTCTACAAGGATCTTATATACTTTTTTCTGTTTTCTTCTTTAGATATTACGTTTATCAAAATCTTCTACTACTACTCCAGGACAGATCATTAATCTATTATCAAATGATATGGCAAGATTTGATCAGCTATTTACATTCTTACATTACATTTGGATTTTGCCTGTACAAGGTGCGATAATTGCATTTTTGATATGGCAAAACGTCGGCATTGCTTCATTGGCCGGCATATTTCTGATAACAATTCAAACTATTCCACTTCAAGGTAATGTATTAAATTATTAAAAATAATATGTATACCTAATATATAAAGTTTATGTACTTTGCAGGATATATAAGTAAGTGGACTTCAAAATTGCGTTTAAAAAGTGCAGTGAGAACTGACGAGAGAGTTCGTTTGATGTCTGAAATAATCAGTGGTGTACAAGTTATCAAAATGTACACTTGGGAAAAACCATTTGAAGAGCTAGTTAATTGCATGAGAAAGTTTGTATATATATTTTTTGGTTTCGTTATCATAGCAGAGAAATTTAACTTAGCAAATTTAACAAGCACATGATTTTATACCTAGATATGAAATCGATGTTCTTACATTAATGTCATACCTAAGAGGTTTCACTTTGGCCACGTTTGTTTTCACGGAAAGAACAACATTATATTTCACTATTATGGCTTATGTATTATTTGGATATTCGATATCTGCTGATAAAGTATTTTCAATGGCACAATACTTTAACATTCTTCAACTTACTATGGCAATAATATATCCTCTAGCTGTAGCAGCTGTTGCTGAAACAGCTGTGTCTATAAAAAGAATCGAAGTAAGATAAACTTTCCACAAATTATTATAAAACTTATTTATTAAATCAAACACATGTCATGAATCTATCATCATTTTCTTAATTGCATATGTCATAAATATTATATATTTTAATATACAAATATTATCTGCCAATATTATCTTTGAAATAGTTATTTTGTAGCACAATTATATTTTTAGATAAGAATGTTTAAATATTTCTATATTTATCTTAATATATGCAACAAGACATAAATTATTAACATTAATAAATAATAATGTTATCAACAGAACTTCCTTTTATTAAATGAAAACGTTTCATTAGTACAATCACTGTCAGTTAATGGAATGAGTATCTTAATGAAAAACGTTAATGCTTCATGGACAACGACCGCAATTGTGAATACATTACATAATATTAACATTCAAATTAAAACTGGAAAACTTTATGTTATTGTTGGTTCTATAGGCGCAGGAAAGGTATATATTTTCTGTATATAATTTTTTTATATTTTGTATATATAATATAAAAAAATTTTTAACATTTATTTGAAGAAAAAAAAAACGATTTTATCTAATTTTCAGAGTTCTTTTCTACAAGCAATTTTAGGCGAACTGAAACCATCGCATGGTCAGATACATATAAATGGCAAAATATCGTATGTTAGTCAAGAACCATGGTTGTTTGCTGGCACAATACGAAATAATATTTTATTTGGTCAACCTTACGATAAAGATAAATATCAGACAGTAGTAAAAGTGTGTGCTCTTGCAAGAGATTTTGAAGAACTTCCATATGGTGACAAGACCTTGATCAGTGATAGAGGTACGGTGCTTAGCGGCGGACAACGTGCGAGAATTAATTTAGCAAGGTAAATTTGCATATACTTATGAATGACATGTTTCATATTATTCTAACAAAATCTGTTTTTATAGAGCCGTTTATAGGGACGCTGATATTTACCTTTTTGATGATCCTTTATCAGCTGTTGATACTAATGTTAGCAAACATTTGTTTGATGACTGCATAAATAATTACTTAAAAGATAAAACGAGAATTCTTGTGACTCATCAATTACAATACTTGAAACAGTGCGATTATATTATTATTTTGAATAATGTATGTATAAAAATATTACTTTATGTATACATATGTTATGTACATACACATATATCATACATTATCACATTTATTAATGTAACTATTATAAATACTAGACTTTAAATAGACTTTATTTTTTCAAAAAAGGGTCAAATTGAGAATGAAGGCACATTTAAGACTCTTCAAGAAGAAAATGCAAACTTTTTAGAAATCTTATCAAGAAATGAAGAAATTAACGAAGAGAGGAGAGAATCATTAAAAATTGACACAAATCTTACACCTGAAATAACACAAAATGCTAATAATGACGAAGTAGACGAGATCGAACCTGAAGAAATTGAAGAACTTTTAGCCAAAGGAAGTTTATCAAAATCGCTTTACTGGAAATATATTCGTAGCGGCGCATCTATCATCATGATCGTTATCTTTCTATTTTGCATGATTTTGGGACAAATTGGAAGTAGCGGTTGTGACTATTGGGTTGGTTATTGGTAAGTTTCTACGAAGAGAGAAATCTATCCTATTGTTACGCGGATGAAAATGAATTTTATTAACACAGGACGAATCAGGAAGAAATGCGTATTATGGCTACCCGCGACCAGCAATATAGTACAGCGAATAATTTTACAATTTCACCTTTTATACCGAAATCTATTAGACAAATAGACAATATCTCAGAGACAAATAATGAATTCACTCAAGTTTCCATAACCACAGAGCATTGGGAAGATCAATCCAATGATACTGCATTGCCACAAAATTTTATTTCCAATAATACTGTTAGTACTTCACTTATCTTTTTTATGATATAATCATTATTCATGCAATGTTCATAAATCTCTTTTGCTACTTCACTTAGGCCATTATAGATAAAGATGCTCATTATCTTGACACAAATACAGCCTTATGGATTTATGGAGGTTTTATTATCATCAGCGTTGTAATGACAACGTGTCGGAATCTGATCTTTTATAAAATATGTATGAATGCTAGCAAAAATTTGCATAACTTTATGTTTTCGTGCTTACTCAAAGCGCCCATGTCATTTTTTAATACCAATCCGTCAGGTAAGCGCATTTAATCTACGATTATCACTGACGTCAGTATGGAACAATACAAATCTCATTTCTTTAGGTCGAATTTTGAATCGTTTCTCAAAAGATATTGGTACTGTGGATGAAATTTTGCCTAGGACCATGATAGAGGCCCTTCAAATTTTCATAGTAATGATTGGAATTATAACACAAGTACTTATTATCAATTGGTGGATCTTATTCCCTACAATCATTATGAGTATTTTATACAATGAGATAAGAAAGTTTTACATTTCGACAGCACAGACTATAAAACGATTAGAGGGAAATGGTAAGAGCTTTTTCCTTCTTTGGAAAAATACAAAATTACATTTTTTTATATTTTCTAAATTAATATTTGTTTAATTGAATTTTCAGCCAAGAGCCCCGTTTTTTCGCACGTTAACTCTACATTGTCGGGTCTAATGACAATACGTTCTGCTGGTGCTCAGGAAATGGTTCGCAAGCAATTCGACGAACACCAGGATTTACACACTAGTACTTACTCGTTAATTATCGCAACTGGTACAATGTTCGGTTTTGCGCTAGATGTAGTCACTATTGGTTTCATTACCGTCGTTACATTTAGCTTTGTCGCATTCGACGACGGTAAATCTTTGTCGCAATTACTTATCAATGCATGTATTTAATAATGTAATAATATTTACGGATTAAATTTTTTGTTTTTCTCTCTTTCAGGAAATACCTTCGCTGGGAATGTCGGTTTAGCTATTTCACAAGTGCTCATTTTATGCGGTATGATGCAATATGGAATACGTCAAACGGCCGAAACGATCACGCAGATGACAAGCGTGGAAAGAATATTCCAATTCACTAAGCTCGAGCAAGAGGGCCCATTTGAAAGTAATCCCACGAATAAACCATCAAGTAATTGGCCCACCGAGGGAGAGATTAAATTCAATTGTGTTTCTCTTCGATATGCCGAATCAGAGCCACCCGTTCTTAAATCTTTAAATTTCGTCATAGAACCGGGCATGAAAGTAACTACATTATCTTTTCACATCAATATTTATATTGAATCAAATATTGTTATAAAAACAGTAATCGTATTTTGTATAAGTGTGTGTTATGTCAAATGATTTTTAAAATATTTTAAATAATTTTCTAAAAATATATTTAGATTGGAATAGTGGGTCGCACCGGAGCTGGGAAATCTTCTTTAATCTCCGCTTTGTTCCACATGACGAAATTCGAAGGCGCTATTTTCATCGATAACGTTGACACGAAGAACGTCGGTCTTCATGATTTGAGAGACAAAATCTCCATAATACCGCAGGAACCAATGTTATTCTCTGCTACGCTAAGAGATAATCTCGATCCCTTTCATAAATTTCACGATGCCGATTTATGGAATGCTTTGGAAGAGGTGGAACTGAAGAAAGCAATGGCTTCTTTGGACCATTGCATTGAACAGAACGGCGGTAACTTAAGCGCAGGACAACGACAATTAATTTGTCTGGCGCGTGCTATTTTACAAAATAATAGAATTCTTGTGCTCGATGAAGCTACCGCAAATGTCGATCCTACAACGGACGCACTTATACAAACTACGATCCGAAAGAAATTTAAAACTTGCACAGTATTAACAATAGCACATAGATTAAATACAATAATGGATAGCGATAAAGTACTAGTAATGGATCATGGTCAAATGTTAGAATTTGATCACCCGTATGTTCTGTTACAAAATGAAAAGAGTCACTTTAGTGCCATGGTACAAGAAACTGGAAAATCGATGACCGAACAACTTAAACAATGTGCTAGAAAGGTAAATTAATTGCTATATATCGCTCTATTATAATCGTAATTGATTAATGTAATTAAAAAGATATATTAATGTACGATATTTCATTTACAGGCTTATGAGGAACAGCATAAATTCGTATAATTTCTACAAGATTCTTCAGTTTCTTTTTTTTATCTAAAACAGAGGAAATTTACTTATCTTCTTTTGTACTTAGTTTTTTGGCCCAAGATTCTTAATTTCTTTATTTTATAATTTGTTAGAGATTAATAATTTAATAAATCCATTTTAATATATGTAATCATTTTATATACATACATATATATATATCTGTACTTTTATTTTTTATACATATTTATATATAATCTAAAAGTGATATATTTCTATGAAAGAGAAGTGCACTTATCATTTCTTCTTATCCACCTTTCAAATTTTACCTTACAAATTTTAATTAAAATTTTCCTGCTTTAAAATTTTTACACATTACATAATATCTCATCAAAATAACTATAGGAAAAGATCTTGACAATGTTGATATGACTTTTTAATTATTTAAATACTGCAAGAATCTAGAGTCTAGATTCTTTCTTAACAATAGTACTGCCATTATTGTATGATTATATCTGGAATTATATCGATGGAAATGAAATAATTTTTAATAAGAATTATTTCATCTTTTAGTACAATAACTTTATAATGTTAAATGATTATACTAAAGTTTAATTAGGAAACAAAAAAAGTAGTACACATTTCTTATATTTTATATATTCTTTGTATATACTTTTGTATACTCTTATATCTCTTGATAATCAAATGTATACTCGTGTATATCATGACAATAAAGTATAAAAAACATGTATGTATATTGAAATTTTATATATATATATTGAATAAAAGTATATATTCTCTATAAGAAAGAGAGACATCGCAACCTTTGTCTTTTAACTGTGTTTGATCGTATTGAAATTTAAAAAAATCAAATCAACTGTACCGCACCAGACTTAACTAAGTGCGCTACAGCGCTGTATTGAATAATATGCTGTGAACCTTCCTCAAAGTCTATCTCCTCATTCAACGTGCCAGGTACAACTACACCCGTTATTCTCTGATTAGCACGCAGGAATACATGTGCTTGTACATTGGGTTTAACGGTAAACTTATTTACCTCGAATTGCTGAAAGTTGGGTGGCATGTGCTGTAACGCTACTGTCTTGAAGAGCGTCTCCAAATTGGCCAGATATTCTTTGGCAAAACGCAGCTCGTCCGGCGTCAAATAGGGTTCCTCATCCGGATTCCTGTTCTCTTCTTCCGATAATATGTGAATCGTATATCGTTCGATTTTCTCCAAGCGTGTTCGCAAATAACTGCTGATTACATATCTGATCCGATCAAGCTCCATCCGATGGACCAGCGCACGTAGGTCATTCTTATCTAACCTCTTGACGTTCTCCTCCATGTGCGCGATCTGCTGCAGCATGCAATCCACCAGGTCGGATTGATGCGGCAAAATCTCCGGCGCGAATGTCTCGTTCATCCAGGCATTCTCGATTTCTTGGAGTGCCGTTTGTGCCGTCAGCTCGGCCTCCCCATTGTCATCCAATAAACTCTCGTCCTCGAGACTCTCTTCCATGGTTACAAATATTAATGCTACCGGTTAAAAATAATTTATCTCGTTAGAGAATTTGCAGAGAATTATATGTACACACCTAATATATTTTCTTCGAAACTTATTTCTCGTATAAATCATTACGTTACTACCATTGATTCATCGCACGCGACATAAAACGCGCCAACTGCTAGATCCTCGAGCCATTTTGAATATCATTTTCGAATCTCCCACGAGATCACGTGGATTATTCAAAACTAGAACTCGTGATTACCGTTACTTTTGCGTTCGAATCGATTACGAGTTTGAATTTAATTACGTACGTAGCTGCAATAATGAGAGATAAACTTTTCTTTGTGTATATATATTGTTTCTAAATAGAATAATCTCCATGTATGTATGCTACATACATATACATCACAGCTCCGAAACTAAAACAATGATATATAATTAAGACAATTATTCGTTATATCCAGATTTCTTCGATAATTAAAAAAATTTATTGAGAATTTATTATGATGGAATTTTTATCCATTTTTGTCTATTGTGGTCAATCGATCAAAGATGCAGCAGGTGTAAATCTTCTATTTTCGTATTGCATCCTTATAAGGTTTCTGCGTACGACACTCAAGGTACTCTCAAGGTATTCCCAAATCCTGTGTAATTTAATAGAGAACTTCTTAAGATTGTTTAGCGACTTAGAAAAAGGCATTCGATATAGTACAACAAAAGTCGTAAGTTCGCGATGCGTATTTAAGCGCGGCTCGCCGTCACGGCGGACCTTGAGCCACATCTCCGATGAAGTGAACCGAACAGGGAACTCTTCCTGCGAGTTTCACGGAAAAAAATATTACCGGGAACGACAATAACAATTCAGCGATAACAATAGCAATTCAGCGTTTGGATCAGTTCGTTCATCACGACGATTTTTTCCAAATAAAACGCAAACACAGGTGAGTCGCATAGCGTCAATTTATGTTCACGCACATTCGGATCGGATATTTCTATTTCTCGTCTATATTAGTCTATATTAGTATGTGATCATCTATATTTAAAATTTAAAGTTTCGAAGAGACTCTCTTTCAGACTTTATATTATATTAGATAGCTTTGTTATTCACTTTTGCGCGTTTCAATTGGCAAATAGCAAAATTGTCAAATATTATATATCTCAAGAACAATTAATCGATATTAAGAAATTTTCCATGCAGTTGACCATGATGTCTATCGCATCCGGGCCAAGCCATGCCGCCTACACGTGGGCGTCGCAAGGAGGCGGATTTGGTAACCAAACCGTAGTGGACAAAGTGCCACCAGAAATGCTCCATATGGTCGACGCTCACTGGTATCAATTTCCACCGATGAACCCTCTGTGGCACGCGCTCCTCGGCTTCGTCATCGGTGTCCTCGGCGTGATATCTGTTATCGGTAACGGCATGGTGATATACATATTCACCACTACCAAGAGCCTTCGTACTCCAAGCAATTTGCTCGTCGTCAATCTCGCCATCTCCGACTTTCTTATGATGCTATGCATGTCTCCGGCTATGGTGTGTTTCTGAAACGTTTCGCAAATAAAATATCCAGAGGAGAAAGAGCATGACTTACCAAATCGTTTAATTGACAAATTGGGCGCAGGTGATCAATTGCTATTACGAGACGTGGGTGCTAGGACCCTTGTTCTGTGAACTATACGGCTTGGCGGGTTCCCTGTTCGGATGTGCCTCCATATGGACAATGACGATGATTGCATTCGACAGGTACAACGTAATCGTCAAAGGCTTATCTGCCAAGCCAATGACCATAAACGGCGCCCTCATTCGCATACTTACCATCTGGTTCTTTACACTGGCTTGGACAATCGCACCTATGTTTGGATGGAACCGGTATGTCGGACAAAAAATCCTAAAATAATATTATACATTATTTAAAAATATGTTACATAAATTATCGGCAATAATTTATTGTATTGATATTCATCTTTTACAGCTACGTGCCTGAAGGCAACATGACCGCTTGTGGTACCGACTATTTGACCAAAGACCTGTTCTCCAGATCGTATATCTTGATCTACAGCATATTTGTCTATTTTACGCCATTGTTCCTCATCATTTACAGTTACTTTTTCATCATTCAGGCCGTCGCCGCACACGAGAAGAATATGCGCGAACAAGCGAAAAAGATGAACGTCGCTTCCTTGCGATCGGCCGAGAACCAGAGCACCAGCGCTGAATGTAAACTTGCGAAGGCAAGTGTCTCTCTTTCCATGCGCTCAATTCGTTAATTTTCGTTTATGTGCTATCGCTTTAACAAATAATAATATATTAATAATTATACAGGTAGCTCTGATGACCATTTCTCTATGGTTTATGGCGTGGACTCCATATCTGGTTATCAATTACTCAGGTATCTTTGAAACAACCAAGATCAGCCCACTCTTCACGATCTGGGGTTCTCTCTTTGCGAAAGCCAATGCCGTGTACAATCCCATCGTATATGGTATTAGGTAATGTTGACGTGATTTTAGTTCCTGAAGAAATTAGATAAATTATTTCATACTTTTACACTAATCTTTTCTCTGTGTGATTTTAGTCATCCCAAGTACCGAGCTGCTCTCTTTCAGAAATTTCCGTCCTTGGCGTGTACCACTGAACCGACTGGTGCGGATACAATGTCCACGACTACCACAGTTACGGAAGGGAATGAAAAGCCTGCCGCATAAAATAACGACGCTATATATATATCAATCTTTCTTCTGTTGATAATGTAACAGATTTTTGCTAAATTCGCATAAGGCCATGAGAAATAGTATCTCATCACGAAGAAATCGTACCACATCAAGCATGGATTGTAAATAACTGCAATAACTAATATAACTATGCATCAGAAATATTGGTGATCAGTGAGAGTGCATTTGATACAACATGTCACACAAGAGAAATGTCATGCGATTAATCGCGGTTCGAACGCAACCACCTAACGGAGTCAAGGCGGAATTTGTAAAAAAAAACTTTAATATCGAAAAAATCGAGGACTGGAACAACGCAAACTATTGGAGTCTATGATACATTATACGATTCGACTGCACCACGATGCGAATTGTGTCTCATAGTAAAATTTATAAATTCTGTCATTTCTTTAAAGCAAAAAAATGAAATATATAATCATTTTGGAATTAGCAAACATATCGCTGTATCGCTAAGAATGTTATATCGCCATGAGATATACATCGTGTCTGTAATTAATTTTATAGAACTAAATAAATTCTGCAGGGGCAATCATACATATACGGCAATTTTAATTAAACATTTCGAAAATTTTAAAGATCCTAATATTTACGTCTATAACATCCTAAATATAATACTTTTTTGTTATTTGTTTTTGTCTTTTGCAATGCTATAATTGGTATTAAGTACTTTCTATCACTTTTATATTTCTATAAAGAAAAAAAAATTAAATTTAAAAACTAAAAACTTATACAATATATCATAAAGTATTGGGTTCATTCATTTTCAGTTGAACATACTTAATGTCATAAGTTAGACCACTCAAAATGCCATAAATGTAACTTTTTTGCATAACCAGATATCTATAACAACTGAATATACTGAAACTACTTTATAAATTTTCTTCATTTAGAAACATTTATCACACAATATCTTTAATATTATTAATTTGTCGATTTGTCCCAGAAAAATATATAACTTTCATATTATATCAGAATATTTAGAATTAAAGATATAATTTATCGCACGAAATTATGCTGCTGTTACTGTAGATGTCGTTTCCGCGGTTTTCGCAGTTGTAGACGAATCTTCAGTCGAACCACATACACAGAACGGTAATTTTTCTTTTAACGCTGCTCTATACTTTGGATGACTGCATATCGCATAAAACAAAGTATGTATAAGCATTAATTGCATGTGTCTTATTTATAAACATAATAACTTGTTTTTACCTAATTCCATAAACAATCGGATTATATATAGCGTTCGCCTTTGCAAAAAGAGATCCCCAAATGGTGCAAAGAGGACTAATACTAGAACCACCAAAGATACCTGTATAATTAATGATTAAATATGGTGTCCACGCCAAAAACCATAAAGAAATAGTCATCAGAGCCACCTGCAAAAATATAAAATTAATAAAATATATAGATACACAGATGTCTATGCTAAAATGTCTGTGTATGGATATCAATCTTAATTTTTTCTTATACACACACACACACACACTTATATATAAACAAAGAATATATATATATATATATATATATATATATATATATATATATATACTTTTGCCAATTTTGCTTCTGCACTGATATTTTGATTATCTCCAGATCTCAGAGATTGAACATTCATTTTTTTCGCCTGTTCTCTCATTGATTTTTCATGAGCAGCTACTGCCTGTCACATACACATTTCAACATATATTTACAGACATCAAATTTCTTTAAGAATGCAATCTACACAGATACGTGCTTACCGAAACAATGAAGTAATAGCTGTAAATTATAGTAAGAAGCGGCGTGTAATATACAAATATCGAATATACCAGAATATATGATTTAGAGCTCCAATCCTTGGTAAGATAATCGGTGCCACAAGCAGTCATGTTGCCTTCTGGCACATATCTAATTGTCATGTTAAAGAAATTTTCTTTAAAGCAATATATCTTTTTTTTCTTATTATTTTAATATTACCTGTTCCATCCTATCATCGGCATTATTGTCCATAATAGAGCAAAGAGCCAGATTAACAAAATTTCGAGTAGCACTTTCTTAATAGTGAGCGGTTTTGCCGCCATACCCTGGAAGCATATTTATTAATTTTCACAATTCTACATATATTTATTAATAAAACGAGAAGCATATTACGTACCTTGACTATAACATTATATCGATCAAAAGCAATAGCAGTCATAGTCCATATTGAGGAACATCCGCATAAAGAGCCAACCATGGCATATAAGTCGCACATTAATGGTCCTTGAGGATGTAAAATAATTTATATGTTAGAGTTGTATTAAAAATTTTATACAAAAAATGCAACGTTAACGTAATGAAAAAAAAGCTAATAAACAACATATTTCGTTTTCTATTATACCTAATATCCAGGTCTCATAATAGCAGTTGATTACCATAGGAGGTGACATAAACATCATCATGATGAAATCAGAGAAAGCCAGATTTACCACCAGAAAATTGCTCGGCGTCCGTAGGGAGGATGTTATCAAGAATACATACACTACAACACCATTTCCAATCCATCCTATAAGTCCAAGTATAATCATCACCAGGCCTAGAATTTTATGCCATATTGGATCCATTGGTGGAAATTGGTACCTGCATAATAGTTTAAACATTTCGATGAGTTTCTCTATCTTTGCAAAGACGAACAGTACAAGAATATAAAAAAATCAAAACTAACCAATGCGGATCAATCAAATGTAGCATTTCTGGAGGTACTTTATCCACAACAGTTTGATTGTTGAAACCCATGATCTGTTGCATCGCGTAGGGCCCATGTGTTGTTGTTAATATATTAGCAAATGTTGTAGTGGAGATATCAGGTAAAATGATTGAAGTTAGATTTTTAGCACCTACTGTAACGAAGGACTCCATTTTCTGTAAAACATTATTGAAAAACAGTTAGTAACAATTGAAAAAGTATGAAAAAAAGCAAATATTTTTTTCAGCATTGAAAAAAGCAAATATACATACCTTTTAATCACTGAAATGTTTGAAAATACAACCAAATTTGTTAGATCTTCTGAGTTTGAAGCAATTGAAAATTTCAATTTATAAAACATCAATATTCTACTCTGATAAGAAATAGCCTATATAATGGTACACTGTATCTCATCAACAAGCAGTACGAGTACGAAAAGAGAACGCATTTTTTATATACTCTTACCGATATAGAAATCCAATAAAATCATCCAATTATATATGCAAATGCATTCAACTACAAATCCTCGAAGACTATAATAATATAATGTACGCATGTATCGCATATGTATGATTACTATCAGTTATTATTCAGGATAATCAGACTGAAGTGAAATTTGATGGATACCATTGATAAATGTAATTTAAATAATTGAGAACTAAATTAATACTTTTCTTACAAATTAAAATATTTCTATTTAATCTCAAACAAACATTGACATATGTTTACATGTTATATTATATATTTATTGCATTGAATATATAATTATGCAAATCACAGGAAACCTTATTTTACCGCTCTTGAAATCCTCCGAATATGTAAATTACGGCTTTCTTGTAGCGCTTCTTCTAGTTCTTGAGTTATATGAAGCAGATTAGTAGGATCAGTTTGTAGCAAAACGTGTTCAATCTCATCCAAAGTATTGGGATTTTTCAGTGATAAATCTAGAGTGATGAGTGGTGCGACTTGTTTCAAGAGAGATCTTGATGCAGTCTATAATGCAATGTATAATTTAATTATAAAATAAACTAGAAAAACAAAATATACTGTAAAATATAAATTATGCTAATACCTGTACTTCAAATCTCCATTCCATATCATGATATTTGGACAATTTAAATCCAATCTCTTCTAATGTATTTGAAATTTCGTCTTTTTTAATGCTGTATAATTTACTAAGTATTGCTTCCTTTTCCTCCGTAAAACCTAATGCAATCACAGAATCCTGGAAATCTTCTGCGCTTAACTATAAAATAATTTTAAATATACTATGCTGTACTTATGATTTAGTACTACCAACAGATCTTACCTTATATTTGCAACTTTCTAGCAAGAGATTAACTAGACCTTCCACTGAATTCTTGATTGCATTTAACTCGACATTTAACTTCTCTGAAATGAGTATATACACTTGTATTACAATTGTATATATTGTTTAACAGTTGCAACAGTTGAAACAACTTACGAGCAGCAGCATTGTATACTTTAACATTCGGTCCCTTTTGTAGATAATCTACAGCTAATTTGCAAAAGTCCTGTAATACTACAAAGAACACATTTTCATCTTGGAAAATTTTTCTGTGTGAAAACAAGTTTTTACTCGTCACATAGATAGAACTTGTATACCTGGCGGTGTTTGTCCGGTAAGAAACAATATATGCCTCTTGTGGTCTGGCTTTAATGTTAATAGCATTTTTCTTAAATGTTATTCACTAATTAAATACTTATATCAAAACAAATATCATTAAAAATGAGCCATCCATCTGACAATTCTTTCAAGACAGGCGGCTTACGTCGCCATGTTGACAAGTGCACTTAAGGCGCATTCACAAAAGCAGAAAGCAAAAACCAATCAGAACTCGCGCTGATAATAAGCAGTTTGTGAGCAAATAATTAGATAAGGTGCAATTTCATTGACGCTAAAAAGTAGCGTCAACCATTGGTTGAACAAAGAAGTAAGTAGTTGCTTCATTGTTTAACCAATGGTTGATGCTACTTTTTAGCGTCAATGAAATTGCACTTATAGGTAAAAAGTAGAAATTATAACTATCAGCGCGAATTCTGATTGGCTTTTGCTTTTCTGTCAAGGTGTGAATGCACCCTTAGGCCCGGTTCCACAATCCAGTTAATCCGAGTTTAAGTAGTGAATGGACCAATCAGGACTCAGTTTAACGTATTAAACTCGGATTAACTCGAATTGTGGAACCGGACCTTAGTGCCTTTATAACTTCGCAATTTTAAATAATTCTATATAAATTTTATCAGAAAAAGAAAATTATATTATATTGTCAACCCACATACTTATTAGAAAATCAATTATTTTATTAATCAATACAATGCATGATTTTAAAGAATATATTTTGCAGAGTTTACATGTAATTTTTAATTTACATAAATTACAATTAAACACTCGTAATGTAAAAAACGCATCAACGATTATTTTATAGAAGCGCAAATGAACAAAATGAGAAATCACTATCATACAGCAACTTTGTTAATATAAAACAATGTTATTTAAATGCTTATCATTACATGTTAATAACTGATACTTCTGCAAAGTTGATGTTTGCATGACATTATGATTTTGGTTGGTTTATCGAGGATTTAATTTGAGCTTGCTGAAATGCACGTTGTAATTTGTCTATTATATCTTTTTGTGTGTCCAGTTTCTTGTCTAAGGTAGACATCAATCCATCTACTCGGTTCCTGAGAAATTCATCTTTATAATTAAATCTGAAGTCAAATGCAAAAATTTAATTCTGATTGACAAAACTTACAATTCAGCTTTAATATAATCGATACGCTTGTCAACATTTTGTTTAGCTTCATACAGATCCTGTTTCACAAGCACAGGCCCTATTAATTTAAATACGTCGTTCTCTTCCTTCAAGAGTTCCAATTCTTCCTTTACCATAATATTCTCATTTAACTGTCCATCCAATTGTCGTCTTTGATTTAGTACTTTATTATATTCTGCGAATGCGAATTGATATGTATAAAAATAATATAATAAAAGTGAAATAAATAACCTATGTAACTTAAGAAAAATAAAAAAAATAAAAAAACAGAATTACAAATGTTTCTTTACCTTTATGAATCTGTCTTAATGTATCAGCTTCAGTCTGAAGCTTCTTTTGCATCTCCTCCATTATAATTACCTAGAAGATTTAATTATTACGCAGAATATTATAATTTTAACGAAACGACGTAATTTTATAAACTGTCAGATCGTTTAATGCAATAATTCCGAAAATTCATAAGACTCGTACTACTTACTCGTGTGTATATATTGCTTTATAATCTCGCGATAAAACATAACCTAATTAGTGCCTGTTTTTCGATTCTGCATCTCGAAATTTTATGAATCGATATATCTCGATAGGTTACTGCTTCAAAGCGGACATGCAATCCACTCGGCGTCAGTGTATATACAAGGTGTCGCAAATTAAATTAATAATTTCAGAACATTCTATATATGACGCATGTATTCTAGAGAAAAATACAACGAAATATGGACATATTAGTTGCATTAATAGTTGTATATATAAAGTCAATATTAACTATATCTTTGAAAATTAAATCTTAATTTTTATGAAAAAGATAATTTTAAATGTATATTACGGTTTAATTTTAACAGTTGCGACAGTAGAAAATACGATAGTCGAAAACCGGGGCAAAAATTTTTAATGTAATTATATGCATTATGTATTTCGTGCAATCAAACATATATATCCGCAGCTGCGTTTATTGAATTATAAATAATCTAACTTTAGTTTACTGAAAGAACAATTTTAGATTCAAGTTCTGTCCAACTTTTGAAAACACATGATAATAAATCATGTGACTGAGAATAAATTAACAAAACGGTTTGCAACGAAAGTAGACAACATAATAAAGCTCGAAGAGCAAATAATTTTTATAATTTTACTTTGAAATACGTATTTGTTTCTCGAGCCTCTTTATTACTTTGTTAACTTATCACTGAATAATTATATCAATGTCTATTTTATTTATTGTTAGTATCGCTGCATTATTTATATACAAAGAGAATAAGAAAAAGCTATTGTAATCAATAAAACTTAATCAAACTAACTGGTATAAATGGAAAAAAAATTTATAAGGAATGCATGAGAAAAGGCGAAAAGAGAATTCATAGGAATTTTTTTTCATTGCGCATTATCGTATATTTCTCGATTACCTTATATTGAATTAAATTTTATAATTATAATTTTATTATCTCATTCTCTCGTTCTCTTGTATTATATGTAACGTTTCTTTTTTCTCTATTCGCTTTTAAAAGGGCAAGTATGTATTTAATATCACTTGCCAGGAATAATTTTCATTCAACATAATTCGCGTCGTATGTACATCGTGGTACATCATTCTGGCGTTTGTATCGTTCATCATACATTGTATATTAATATTCCGCTTATATCTTTTTTTCTATCTCGCTTTATATTCGTGAATAAAATACATGTTCCGTCGTTAATTTTTTTCAGACAGCCGTCTTTGTAGTTTTCCTTTAGTTAACATCGATATATAATAATAAATCAATAGCTTTATCCGCAGAGATATCGTAATTGTTTTTCTGTGAGGACAGGATAATTTTTTCTTACATAAACTGACCTGGATATTTGATTTAACATTCACTATAAAATATTCAACATTAAAATAATCATTAATTATGAAATTTTGACAAATCTAACTTTCCTTTTTTTTTAATAGCAGATTTGATCCTTAGAAGAAAGAAAAAGAGAGAGAGAGAGAAATTTCAATGCATGATCTGTGGAAAAGTTATGTGCGAAAATAATGAAATTTCATGTGCTTTTACTGGAACATGACATTAATTATTTGTATTACATGTTTTATCATGCTAATGATAAAAAGGAAAGATTCTGGCTTTTTAAAATTTGAACAAATATATAAATCATAATTTAATACAACAGAATCAATATTATAAAACAGCAAAAAATATGATAGGATAACGCGTAATATAGCATACTATAGCCAATGTTTTCTATTTTAAAAATTTCTTCTTCCAAATCAATCGTTTTTCTTTCAATAGGGATCCTCTTCTTGCACTGCTATTTTATTCTTCTCATATTTATCGCATGATCATATTAGAATGAAAAAAAATGAACAAAAGACAATATTTTCATTCTGCACGAATACCTTATAAGAATAATGAAACGTGGATTAAGGAATAATCTTAAAATAAAGGAAATGCGCATGCGCGGCATGTAATTTCAATAATCTTAAAATAGAAAAACTCGATTCCATTAAATAACGATACAAAAACAATTTTGTTTTAATATAGTGATAAAGCTTTGAAATATAAAGTTTGTAGTTTAAAACATATTTTCTAACCATGACAGATAGCAAACAATGGAAACTTCATTATATTTTGCATTTTTTCTAATTATTTTTTTACTCTAAATATTTTAATAATCAATTTTGGATACAGGATATATATATATATAATATATCGTTTTTCTATTTTAATATGTACTGTAAAGTAAAAAATATTTCGGTAATGAAAATTCAGAAAGAGGAATTGCAGTTGCAAAAATATTGTGATCATTCCTTAATTTCTTCATCATCATTCATTCATTTAATTTTTCAGATCCTACATGAACTTTGTTTATAATAATAAAGTCGGAGACTTTGAAATATAATAAATTTTGCTATAACTCAGATAATAGTCGTGATACTGTGAAAGAAATATGTATATTGACTATTGACATATAATCTTTGCTTACATCGTGTAAGAGTATGTATCAACTCATATTATTCTGATATTTTATTCGAGTAAATACTCGCACAAATAAATGATTTAAAATAAAACGTTGAGATATAGAAGAGTGTTAGGAAAACGTACATTATCGACTGTCGCTTTTTTTCCATTCGTTTGCTGGATTTGATCTTGTTACATCCGGAAATATTACGACGCCTCGATTCGTTCGCCTCACATACTTATAGGTCTGCAATATAAACATTCTATGTATCTCGCGATATGATAATTATAAAGGAATTTTTAAATTTGTGTATGGAACTTTATCGCGATCAACTTACTTTCAATTTCTGACCCTGCAGAGATGAGCTTGGTGTGTGGTTGTGCGGTCGCGCTTGGCTGTGGATTTAATTGTCCTGCGGTCGTGGGAGCAGCGAAGCCAGGAGGTGGTTGCATCGCCCAATGCTGAGCAGATGCGTTCTGTTCCTGTATGTGAATTTCTTTTTTATATTTGTAATATTAGGACGCTGTTAATATTCACAATTATGATGACTAATAAATTTGAACTGCTAAAAATATATTAAACATATAAAGTTCCGTACCTGTTGCGCATTATGAGCTACAGTGTGAGACGGATGAATGTGGGGAAACTGCCACGTACTGGTAGTTTGGAATGGAAGTGGTCTAGATGAGGTAACTATAGCCGGATCGATCGAAGTCCAGTCTGCGATAGGTCCGAAATTATTCCATCCCTTCTGGTGCAAAGCTTGATGATGGAATTGCTGCTGCTGTTGTTGCTGATTGTTAATTTCACACCAATCTTTCAGAGTATATACCGCGTCAGTTGTGCACTTGCCGATATCTGTAATAAATCGATTGAATATTAAGAATACGAGAGATAAGACGTAAGAAAAATATTCTCGAATACTTGAAAGATTAAAAAATGAAAGATAAGTTATTACTTTGTGTGTTGAGAAGTGGGCTTCCATTGGGAAGATATGCACTCTGTTGGGGCGGTTGCGCACCTGCGAACATAACACTGAACCCAATAAATCATGAATAGCGACATTCTGTCACTCTTAATTCACGGATATAATGGCCACGGATATAATCCACGGATATAAGAGTGAGTCACTTTTCGTGACTCGCTCTACCTAAATCGTGTATAGATTTTCGTGTATAGATTTTCGTAAAATTATATCATGTGAAAATTCGCGGATAGATCGACAACTTATCTTCGTCTACGATAGATTATCGTATACGTATGTAAACTTCACGCACTGTGCACTATGATTCCTGATGCCTGGAAAAATTGGAGAAACACTAACCAGAGAGGGCGCTATTCGTTGGTGCTGGACGTGGTATACCGAGACCAAATGAATTCATGTGATTTGGCGTAGAACCAAGGAAACCCGGTGGCGGAAGGCGACTACGTTGTCCTAAACTGTTAGTTGTTACGGTGCCTTGTGCAGGACTCTGCGCGCCGCTTTGTAAGAGATTTTGTGGAAGACGAGACAGAAGGGAATGCGATTGAAGCACTTGAAGATTTTGCAAGTGCTGAGCTTGTTGCTGCAAGTGTGCTATGTGCGCAACCTAAAAGAGTATTTATTTCCATAAATTTTACTTAATATTTATACGCGTATTATACAAAGTAATTGATATTATTAGTTAATATTATTATTATTATTATTATTATTATCATTATTATTATTAGCTAAATTAATATTATTAGTGTATAAGACATTCTTCTAAAATATTTTACCGAATTTTATGATATATAACGTATTTTATTAATTATATATTGTTAAAAAAAATGAGAAACCCATTCACATGCAATTTTTGAGACACACATAAGAATATGTTCAACTTGGAAAATATTTACTTGTGGAAAATGTTGCTGGCCAAGGCTTGCGAGAGTTTGTTGATGCTGCACCCTAGTTTGTTCCTCTCGTTCTCTTTGTTGTTGCTGCTGCTGAAATAACCTCTGCTGTTGTATCTGCATTTCATTTTCCATAAGTTCAGCTAATGCCTTTTGCGTCTCGTGAAAAGGATCGAAACCTAAATCATCGTCGGCTTTCACATCTGATCCTGCATCACGATGATTTCGAACTTCCTCTATTGTAGCATGGCCATTCTGTTTTATGTATTCGCAATTTTCTTGATTCTGTTGCGCCTTAAAAATTGTATATATAATCTTAGTAATCTATTGAATCATCATTTTTCTCTTTGATAAAAAAATCTTGCATATATAAAAAACATCTCGTGTTATATTTGAGACATAGAATTCGAAAATTTTATTATTATTTTACTCACTTGCATATTAAGCCTTTGTTGTAATGAATTTTGTTGAAAGTCTGCCATAAACTTAGATGCAGGTGAATTTACAAGTAAATTAGGCGTGAAGGTATTAGATGATGATTCCGTGAGTGTAGTAGTATTATATGGTGCATTTATGTAAACCTCCTCGTCAACAAAACCTTCGGAATTGAATGTTACGTTTGGCGATTCAGACGGGCTAGATTTTGATATAAGGTGATTCGTTCGAGTGGGTTCCGGTTGAAAGCCGAAAGCCGCTTGCCAATCTTCGCTAGAATGAACTGTGGGTAAAGAGTCGGGTATCGAAGCCACTCCC